TATGGGAACAGGCTCTGGAGCTTTGGTGCTCCATATCGAGGAGAACTCTCCGTGACTCCCTCTCTCTGCTGCTCTCCGGGGAGCAGAGTTAAAGATACTTTGCTTTGATGGTACAGAGAACAAAATGCATCCTAGGCTGCCCTTTACCCAAGCAGGCCATCACTGGGCGCAGAGAGAAGAGAAGGCCTCACGCTGATCTGAGCTGTCGTTGATCACATGGGAATTACTGTTGGACAGGACAGTTGACGATGATTTATATAATATTTTTTATATTTTCATAAAATGATTCATGTAGGACTAAGTATCCGAATGAAAAATAAAGGTTGAGCTGAAAACTGTGGAAGCCAATGACAGCCATGGTTGCAAAACCTTTTTTATCTTGAGATTATTTAACTATTTATAACTGACTTATTCTGTCAAGTTTATGTGCACACATGAATCAATGTAATTGATTTGACCCTTTCTATCCCCATTAATGATCTATACTCGAAAGTAACACAATCATGCAACATATACTTAGCATTATTCTTTGAGTATGTAAACTCTTGCACAATGTCTAATTTGCAAACAAACATTTATTGGGAATGTTGAGGTACCCAAACATTGCTATTAAGTGCTTTGGGATTTTGGGGTGGCACCATGGGCTGGCCAATCAGATTTCAAGGCCACCCCTTGATGCCCCTCTGGAAACGCCCCTGGTTTACGCGGAAAAGTGTGTGGAATAACTTCTTGAAGCCTTGTGGTTAGCAATCTTGTCTCTGTATTTTATCCTTATATATTTTGTATTTTTTTATACATTTACAGTTTGTACCGTGGAGACAAGCAATTTTTTTTCTTTTTGTTTTTTTGTAAGTCAAGTATGTATGAAAAAAATTGACAATACAGATGACTTTGACTTGTCTTCTTAGAACAAGAGTTGATCATATTTGGGAAAGATGGTGGGTACACATTTCTACACCTGCTTGACAGGTTGGCATGGTGACTTGTCAGTCACAGTGAGCCACTCCCCAAAGAATTCCCTGCTTTATGTCAAATCGACCATAACTGGACCATAAAGTTTAAAATTAACATCATGCTTTACTGAAAATAACTTACACCAAAAGTCATTCTGACAATGTTTACAGGGATAACAAACAGCACAGGAAGGTCAACAACTGACTTATCTGGTTGCATACAGTTACACTTCCTTTCGCAACACCTGGATTCGCCCCCTGCTGGCGATTACAAGTAATGAAGGTTTAAGAAATTCCTATTAGCTTCACTTTTGAAACTAAGAGATGCTACATCCATTTACATTAACGTTTATGTGGAGAACACAAAAAAATGAATGTCAGTTTCATTTGATCAAACCGGATTTCAGCTTTCAAGATCAATGTCAGGATTGTCAGGTACAACTAATAAATGAACATTGATTAAAATGAAGTCCGATGCGTCAAGTCATCAAATACATGCAGCTTAAATCAGGTACTACAGCTGTCAAGATGCCATCAGTTCTGTGATGGCACTGTGATGTCTTGAAAATCATAAGCAATTACAGGAAATGACCATTGATTTCTGTCTTTAACAGGTTGAGTATCTAGATTATTCAGGATAATAAAGATTTTTTTTTACCTGAGAAAACGAAACAATTGATAAATGATCGTAAGATAAAGCATTAAAAAAAAAGCAAACACGGCATCATAGAAAACAAAGAACATGTTTAACTTTGCATGATTTGTAAATGTACTCGATTCTAGTCTTCTGACTACTCAAAGCACTTTTACACTGCGGGTGAAACCCATTCACACAGTGATGGAAGAGGCTGCCATGTAAAGTGTCGACCAGTGATTGACCATGATTGATAATAATAATAATTGAAGTTAAGTGTCTTGCCCAAGAACACATCCGACATGTAGCTACAGGACATGGGGATCAAATCCCCAACCTTCAGGTTAAGAGGCGACCAACATTTCCTCTGATCCACAGCCATAGTTATATGATTTTGACTGCTGTAATTAGGTAACAGCAATAGATTGGTCCCCAGTATAAATTAGAGAGAAAATACATTTTATTATCTATAGACTGTCTTTGTATTTTATTTTAAATTGAACAAAATGTAAAGGCAACACATTTCTGGTGAACACTTTTTATCCACAAATATGTGGACAGTCCCCAATTTATTACTTTAATGTCAATTGATCTGTTTCAGTTGAAGAAGCTTTAGAAAGGCTTTAGGTCTGTAATATTTACCTCTAAAATATATCAGCATCATCTGATCATGTGTTTAAGCATTGTGTCTTTTGTAATTACATTATGCTTACAGTACACACGGTTCACAATTTTAAACTACTTTTCATTCCAAAGATGCTGACAGGAACAATCTGCAGGCGCTTTTCATCTGAATTACATCAAATGCTGTCTGCCGCTTTTACAGATTGAAAAGCATTTGTTCCTCTGCTGAAGGTTGTGAGGCAAGGTCAGAATAAAAACTCAAAACTTTGGTACAATGGATTGATTGTGCTTGCATCGCAGCCGGAAACACGTAGACAATGCACAATGCAGCCAGCGAGAATGTCAAATAAAAATCATTTATGTCTGTTATTTAGGTGTTGTTTCCCCCTTTGTCAGATCAAGTACTACTCATAATACTGCAAACTTGCATATTTTGTCCTGTATAACAGTGAGGTATATTTCCCACATCATGATTTTTTTCTTTCAACTTTGAAGAGCTTTTTAAAGTCATCAGATTCATAAAGATTCACCACAGGTCAAAGCCCATCAACATGAAGGAATTCAAGTGTGGCATAAGGACCGACATCAGGACAGAAATGCTTGACTTGTGCTGCAAGAGGGGATATTAATACACTGAAGATGCCCCTGTGGCTGAATGTCTTCAGGAAAAACAAGGCAACACCTACAAAATTCCCGGAAGAAGAAAGTGCACCAGAGAAGAAAAGAGCAACATCACCTGTGATGACACATTTTCTTGGAAAGCCTCACTCCTTTTTTCAAAAAGTGAGGTGTCAATCTGGATATGCTGTCTTTGAAAGGGTAGATACAATGTCTTACTAAAATCTAGACATTTATTTTTGATTAATGTACTCTCCACTCTTAGAGAAACTCAACTGTTAGTCAATCATTTTAGCCCACCTCATATTTTTAACTAAGGTGTCTTGATTCCAAAGGTGTTATGCAATGGCTTAATCATGACCTTATTCGATATATTTACTAATTTCTGTTAACATGAGCAGTATGGGTAATGTGAAATATGTGTAAATGCTGATGTGATTGGTATGTGATGTTGCGTTACTCTGTTTAAATGATTTTTGTGTAAAAAGTGTAGCAGAGAGAGCTAGGAACGTACAGCATCCAAGTCCAAGAATTTCCTTTCAGGGACAATAAGGTGTATCATATCGGATCAGATTGGATCATGTTATCGTATTGTTTCACTGACGCAATAAAAATGAAACAGAAACAGATAAGAAATACTAATGATTTGTTTTCTTGTATCACCTTCCGATTTTACAATAAATGTAAAACATGTCAATACAGCCTGTAAATAAAGAGGTGGGTATGAAACAGATTGTAGAAAAACTTGATATGGTAAAATGTCATGAAATGCAAAGAATGGGTGATATGACAGACAACCTGAACTACAGTGTTGTTATGATAATGTGCCAACATCGACTCACTGCCTTTCTTTGCAGTTATGAAACAAGGAGCCAAAACATTGAGCTTCAATTCATCATCATACTGCGACAGGGTTGAGACGCGACTTCGTTTTACAGTGTAAACATCTGCCGTTTAAACAACAACAAGATAGACTATGCTATTAGAGGATTAAATATCAGACCAAGCACACAACATGTGATTACTATCATTCGAGTATAGCATGGAGAGAAAAACTATAATTAGAACATCAAGGTCGGATTAATTTAGCAAGGTAACGGTCATTGGTTTTTCAATTGTAAGGAATGAACTCCCAAGCCTGAACTCTGAATCTGTATTCAGCATAATTCAAATGCAAGCACAGTGTGGCTCATGCAAAGTGTTTTTGCCCTAAAATTCATCATAATTAGCCTGAGTTATCCTGCTATTATCTCTCCCCACAACAGGGGGGGGGGGGAGAGGTCATATCACAAACCCAATGTTTTTTTTCTCTACACCAACACTCAGCCTCTCCACCTCTGCATTTTTATCACCCAACCCACCCAGAGGTAAAAACCTGTGATTTACACACACACACACACACACACACACACACAAGCTAGTGTCTAAAACACATTGATACACCTACAGGAAGTTAAAAGTCTAGCTCAAAACAGAGGTAGAACTCAGAAATACAAAATCTTAATGCAATAGGTTACTCTGACACCCCCCCCCCCCCCCCAAACAAAAAAGCTTTACACAATGATAAGCATTGAAACATATTCTTTCCATGATACCCCAGTTTCAGAACCAAATACTTAAAAATAACAGATGATATATCTGCAGCCACAATCTCAGATGACAGTTCACCTCGCAGGTTGCAACCAAACAGGAAATGTATTCTTGCACCAAAATTGTTTCCTGGTCACTACATTAAGATAAAATTGTATTTCTTATTAATTAGGAGGAGGACATTCTGTGCGACACTGTTGTGACAGGAGTTTTGGCGATTCATAAAAGTCTTGATTGATTGTAGGCCCACGTCCAACATGTGAAAGAGTGGGCAGTGTAGGGCTGCTGGGTCTGTTCGCTTCATTTAGTGCAAAGGGTAGACCGGCGTCCAGACAATCATTGTGCAATCATTCACAAGGCAAGCTCTGGAAGAAAAAAAAACCCGTATTTACTTATCAAACATTAAAGATATTAAATCATGTTAGTATTTTCTGTATCTCTGCAGGGAACTTTGATAATGACATTGTATTCTGTACTGCACCACCCAACATGTTATGGTTTCAGACACCCCGGAACGCGCACACATACGTACCCCGGCCACACGTCACGGAAATGACGTCAACGCGCTGCAATTCAAACTTGAGGAAACGAAAGCGTCTGGCAGGAAAACGGTCGTGTTTGTTGCCGCAGACAGACTAATTTCAGGAGGTAGCTTCACTCCGCTTCTCGTGTAAGTGTCAAATTATTTGGGTTAATGTGTTTCAGAAGTGTTTGTTTTTCAAATATTGTTCGAGAAGAGAGCTCTGAACTACGACGTTTTTTTCAAATGAAGGATGTTTGTGACGTTCAAGAACTGTCAGTCTTTATTAATGTGTTGAATGGTTTCATATATTGCTTTGTGAAATATTGTTAAATTAACCTATTATTTAAAGTGTCTGTTGAATATACGAGTGAATCATGTAAAAATGTGTATGTGTATAAATGGGAATTCGTTGACTTCTGTGATTAACATTGAGATTCAAAAGCAGGTGTGCCCCAGAATATCTCAGCTTGAACGTTTCATGAGGGTTTAGTGTTTTGAACTTTTTGATTTCTTGTTTTTTGTGAACTTTTATGTATAAAGCAAACACGTACTGCATTTAAATTCTGAGCATCTTGTTAATTAGTCTGTAAAATTGTCTTGTCTTTCTCCTGCAGAAATCTGTGGCATTTGGTGAACACCCCTAAAAGCAGCCATGACATCTAAAGGTGCCAAAGACAACTTTGTCACCAAGTTGGGTTTCAAATCGAGCAGCTCGACCTCTAAAGCTGAGGCGGAGCTGGACAAAGTCAAGAGGGAGAATGCTCACCTCAGAAAAAAAGTCGATGAAATGGCCAAACGACACATCAAACCGCCTGACTCAGACAAAAGCAAGCTGCTTGAGGTAAAGGAAGTGCATCTTTTTGTCAGTTTCCTGCAGCTCTGTCAGTGTTTAGGTTGTTTTAACATTGTTTGTTAATGGATTTTTTTGTTTTTTCCAGAGGATTCTTTCCCTTGAGACACTGAGAGAGAGAAACAACCAGCAGTTGCATGTCAAAGAGCAAGACCTAGAAACACTGAGACAGCAGCTTACTGCTAGAGGAGGAGAGGTATGCACACATGACACTTTTCTGCATATACACAGTTAAAATTCAAATGTACTGTAAACTGATAAAAATAAATACATCCGAAGTCCTTATGGATATGCAAAAGAAAAACATGGCAGCCTGATGTGGAGTAACAAGATACACCTATTGTTTTGTCTTTTGCTAGTAGGGAATATTTGCACTCTGGGTTTTTTTTGTTGGTGGCACATTTATTGCTGGCAGAAGACATCTGTCAGGAAGGAATAAATCGCACTTGAGTTCTGAGCTGTCATAAAAATGGGGTGGCAGTGGGGGTTCTGTTCCATTCTGACAGCAGCTCAGCTAAGTGAAGTTTAGACAGCCAGCCAGAACTGCATACTAACACATGATGTGTGGTTGTTCAGTTTATATTTGTGAAGCAATCTATTTTCCTCTGTAGTGTGTCTGTGCATGCATTAGCATTCATGCCCTTTCACTTTGACACTGCTGGAGAAATTGATGCTATCTGTTTGACGTTATCATCTCTCATCCTGGTGAAATCTCTGGCATTGTTGCAGGAATTGTTTCTAATTTTAGTCGGCCAGAATGGCATCAGGCTCAAACTTGGAACAGCACAGTGCTAAATGAACATCAGCTTGTGCAAATGCTGTTTTGATATAATTACATTTGTGTTTCTTCTTCATTAACTTTCTTTAACAAAAGGCTACAACTAGAGCTGCTTGGAAGGCAAAGTTAGACTGTGTGTGTGTTTTTGTAGGGAGCAGATAATTCCTTAGAGGAGAGAAAATATCCTCAGGAAACACAAGTTGTTTTTATAGTTTGTTGTTGTGCATTTCAGGTGGTAGCATCACTGCAGGCCCAGCTGGAGCAACGGAGGAAGGAGGCTGAGCAGAGAGATGTGTTGTTCCAGAACTTGTCACAGGAGACAGAGAACCTGAAAAACCAGCTGGTCACTGTTTCTACCAGGTGCCAAACTCTGGAAACACAGGTTGTGGTAGGTACCAACTTAAAGCCTTTATACACATCTTCATGTTCATTTTAGTTAGAAAGGAATACGTCTCCTCTTCCACATGTCTCATTTTCTTGTTGGGAGAAATTATTGATCACTAGCCCTGGGATATTATAAATGATTCTGTTTCAGGCTGATGGATACAAAATGCAAAGATTTGGTGGTGGAAAAGTATGTTCAATAGATTCTTGTAGAAAAGGTAACAATTTCATAAAATCCCTGATAAACAAAGTTGGTTAAATAATTAATCCTTTATTTATTAACTCATCATTCATCCATGGAGTAAGATTAAATTGTGCAAACCCGATGTTTCCCTTGCTTCTCCTTTTCTTCCATTTTAATATCCCCTCTTGCCAATATTTTATAATAATTATTTTTACTGTATATCAATAGTTCTGAAGCAGTAGACATATTTTTGGCAGCTTTAGACGTGCAACATTTCATTTTAGTGATTAAATAAATTGAGCGCCAGCATTGCAAAAGTCTGAATTTAATTTACAATGGACAAGACACTGTGTAAACAAGTCATTCTTTGTTCAGACATCAGCCCCTGGTTTGAGTTTTTGATCAACTCAGACCCTGTTTATGTAAACAACCCCAATATTTTAGTCATGTACATTTCAACAGGTTTATTTTGTTTCAACAGAATGTGAGTGGTGTTTTTTTTTCTTTTTTTTACCTGAGACTCATGCTGCATGACAGGAACCGTGTTTGGAAAATGAACCTGTAGTTACTCTGCTGTCCACTGGGTGGCATTGTGGGACCTCTGATTGTATTCCCCAGCTGCTGATATACTCTCTCTAAAGCAGACTCACTGATGTGTTATATTGGAAGACAGGAGAAATACATGATTAGAATCGAGACGTAGCAAATTGAGTTTAACACATCAGTACCAGAAGTGTTGTAAAAGATTGAATACAAACTTTAGTCACACTTTGTCTATAGGCTTACATCATTCCAGATCATTAAAATCATCACATCAAGAGTCTTTAGTAAATCCATAGTTCTCTCACAATTGCCGCCTTTCGTTCGGTATCAAAAGGCAGCACAGATTCTCAGTCGGCCCCTTTGATGCTTTCAGCACAGCAGGCCTCGCACTTCACTCCGAGAGAGCAGTCATCAGGATTCTCCTTGGCTTCAAAATCACAAGAAAACACATCAGGAGTTCGGAGAGTTGAAGACTCAGAGCTAACACTCTAAGATCACATACATATCTCTGGGCTTCTGGGAGCCCAAAGTAGTCAAATATCATTTAAAGTATAGATTTAAAAAAAAAAAAATCACCACTTTTCCCTGATATTCCTCCTCGGAGAAATGTCCTCTGCTTTAATACTATCTCATGTAGAAATGTTCGCCAGTGCATGTACAGGGCTTATCTTCGCAGAGCCTTTAAATTAAAAATATTTTTCTGTGTGTATGATATCAGAACCAACAAAAAAGCTCTAGGTCTTTTTTTAATTTCTGTTTACAAACTGTCAAAAAAATGTGTTGCCCTTGTAATTACTTTCTTGATGCATTCACTGCTGGAGCTTCTCCAACCATGAGTGTAACAGGAGTCCATAGTAGACATTTTGCACATAATGCATGAATAATGTTTTGGAAAACTTGGTACTTGAAGAAATATATTCCTCCTTTAATTGTCCTGTCTTTTAGCTCAGATTTCTTTGCCTCTTAATGCTAATTTTCCAGGAACACGTTCTCCAAGCTTTTTGCTTAGGTCCTTTTCCCATTACTAGATATCATTTGACCTCCTGAAACCTGACCCCACCAACCCCTTCCCTTTCCCCCAGACTTGGATTCACAACAGCTATTAGCAGGCTGAGCTTATGGGATGTGCTTTAAAATCCATGTGGAAAAAGTTGACGAGCTAATGATGCTTGTCTGGAGGTGTGGGAGCTCTCTCAGAGTTTAAGCGCAGAGATTATACGTTAGATTCTTACTGTTGTGACAAGGCTGCTTCAGGTTTGCTCCAGCTCAGACGTTGGAGGGGATCAGACCCTGGGGGGCATCAAGGGGACAGTTATGAGAAGGTGGACTGTCTTCTAGGAATGGGTGTCTGTCAAGGATCTGTTGCTCTGAAAAAGCAGTCTATAGTGATCACTTGCTGCAGTGTTCTTTGCTGCATGATATAGAATTAAGAGGATAAATCATTCAAACAAGAATGATGTCTGATTCTTAGCCTTTGGCAAACCTCCCTGTTAATACCCAGGAGCAGCTGTGGCTCAGTTGGTAGATAGCAGCCACTGCCATCAGTGTGTGAATGGGTAGGTTTGACCTGCGGTTTTAAAGAGCTTTGTGTAGTCAGAACACCAGAAAAGCACTATAAAAGTTTAAGTCCATTTACCAGTTACCATTTATGTCTATGCGATTTAGCCCGGTAGCATCACAAATGTGAAGTTCTTCAAAAGGGAAAACAGGGTGTCATTTTATTCTAGATCAGCCTCATCTGTTTTGGATGGATGTGTTATAATCCTGAATTGTGTTGAATTCAGTTCGCTGCAGTTCCCCCCCTAAATCTTTCTTTAAAGTCGCCTCTGTGAAAGAATTGTTCCTCAAATCTGAAGAAGGCACTGTGACCCCTTTCTTCTCTAATTTAGTTATTTGAGTATGTTTTGTGCTTTCTCCTCAGAATGGACAGGTACCTCCTGCAGACGTGGCTTTGGTACAAGATCAACTAAAAGATGTGAGTGTGGTCAATGATTTACTGTTTATTTCACTGCGTGACATGTTGTCATTATGGAGGATATTATCAGGTAATTGGAAAAGGTTTTTCTAGCAAGCTGTTCATTCGATTACAGGGGCTGTTCAGGGCTGGAGGGATTAAAAAAAAAAGATTCTCTGAAGCGCGTCAATCGATATTTTCAAAACACTCACTTTCAAGGCAATCTCATTAGTCTGTGTGGAGAAAGGACACATGGGGTCTCTTTGGGGTAGAATAAAACATTTGGAATATGTTGTAGGCATGAAAGCAGTTTTTCTTTCTGCTTAGTTTCGATTAAAAAAAAAGCCTTGTCACCCCTCCAAGCATCTGTTCCCTACAAAGTTTTTATTTCTAAGTGAATACAGTTTGTCTGTATAAAAAGTGTTCGTCTCACCTCCAGGCTCTGGAGAAGAACCAGCAGTGGCTGATGTACGACCAGCAGAGAGAGGCCTACGTTCAGTCCGTCCTCGCTCGCGTAAAAGATCTGGAGCAGCAGCTACAAACCAAACAAAAGGCCGCTTCAGATGGTGGGTAAACGTAGGAGGAGTTGAATAAGCTACATATGACATCCGGCAGTTGTATGCCCAGAGCATGAAATGTTAACAAAATCACAATGAACCTTTTTAACACTTTGTGCTCTGATGCATACAAAAGCGTGTAAAGGGGAAACTTTTGAGTTTGAATCGGATGTTGTGGTTTTGTTGGCACATTAAAGATTAAAAGGTGGCAGGCTTTGAGTGGAAAAGGAGAAGAAGACTTATCACACGAGAATAAATTATTCATGATTTAAAAAAATAATAATAATTAGCTACACTGGCAGCATTGACTACAGATTCTTTTTTTTTATTATTTAATGGCAAACTTTTATAAAAAATAAAAAAAAAGATTCAAAACTGTTGACGTGTATCTGCAGCTAACACTTCTTATATCAACTCCTTTAGACTCAGCAGGTCCAGAAAAGGAAACTCAACTGAAGAGCCACTATGAGCAGTTGCTTTTGGGCGTACAGAAAGACTTGGACTGCCAAAAAGATTTGGTCATTAAAACCAAACAGGAGCTGGATGTGCAGAGGACACAGGTAAAAGCTGCTTTAAATCATATCTGTCCCTGTTCGGAAAAAAAAATGAAGAGATGCACTCATTTATTGCGACCACAAAGTCGGACTGAATCAGCTTGCAACCCCACTTATGGCATTGCATTTCATAACTCCTTGCATGCAGGCATCTTTTATAATTAATTTGAGGAAGTCTAGTGGAAGGAACTGGCGACAGAATTCACTGTTTTGAAAAGTTGAACTTCCCCTGACTCTGCAGACGTTGAATGCTCAGGCGGAGCTGCAGTCTCAGAAGGAGCAGGTCACCAGGCTCCGGGAGGAGACATGCAGACTGCAGAGGAGGTATGAGGACAAGAGCAGCGAGCTGTCATCCTTTCTGAGGACGTACAACGAGAAGAGCAAAGAGCTGGAGGAGGCCAAGATACAGCTGCAGGCCGAGCGGCTCAGCAACAGGTAAAGCAAGTGGGAAGCGATCATAATGAGGATCTATGTTAAAAGGTACAGCTGGTGTGAAAGACCATGCTCCTATGATTGGATTAGTCCATAATTCATGCCAAAATGTCGATTGACATTGAATGCTAGTTTGAGAAACACAGTAAAAAATCTGTCTTTGTTATTATTAACAACAGTTAACAGGATTTAAAACATATTTTTAACCATTTAGCTGCCAAACAGATAAACAGGTATATAATATACTTCTGCGGGCTACATAAACATTACCCTTAGACATGAAGCGTGTGAGGAGAGAAAGGTGTCGACTGAGCGAGCGGACAGGATGATATCCGAGCTGGAGAGTATGGACTTCCGACTGGAGGAGGAGAGGAAGAGATCTGCTGAACTTCTGCAACAGGTAACGCTCAACAGTCACTGTCAGGTGACCTGTCGTTACTCTGGACTAGTATCTGATTATTTTATGAATGAAACGCATCAAAAGCAGCCTGTATTTAAAGCATAGGTCATATAATCCATTTAAAATAACTACGTGTTTTTTTTAAATGTTGGAGCTGTTTAATCTTTTGTTTTTAAGTGTGTGTTTTTTGAATATAGTTTGTATATTGTATTGCTCTGTCCTTGTTGTTGGAATAATGCTGTGGTGTGATGCAACAGTTAGCATGCTACAAATATTGAAAATGTACATAAAGTTACTGTTAAATTTCCCCTTTTCTGCAGGTTAATGTGTTACAGCAGTCTCTACTGAGCCAAAGTGAAGAACAGAGGAGGATTGCAGCTCTGGAGCAACAGGTAACGAAAACAATATTCCACCTTTCACAACAAATAAAACATATTCAGTGTCAAAATCTTCATCCGTTGGGAACAGTGGAAAACAACATGCATTCCCTGAATTCCAGGGTTCAACCACATTATTACACAAATGAATGCTTACAACCCAGTGATGAGTGAAGGTCAATCAGCTCAGCTTCCTAAATGGAAGCGTTATTACATAAACATGTTTTATTACTAAAAGGAGATGCCAAAAATAGCAATCTTATCATGTATTTATTTTTCAAAGTGTGACAGGAGATGTATTCATTTCTCATAAGTGTTGAAATCCATACTGATCCCACTTGTGCAATCTTAAGGCAGTGAATTCTTGGCTTTCTCCTCCTCATATATATTCTCCCCCCTCCCAAGATCCAGCTCTCTGCCAAGGACTTTGAGAATGAAAAGATTGATCGTCAGAGCATGCAGCACCAGTTACATAAGGTTCTGAAGGAGCTCCGCAAGGCCCGAGATCAGATTGCCAAGCTGGAGTCTGCTGTGAGTGTTACTGCTGATCATAACCACATGTTCATTATGAAGTCTTTCAGAAACACGGGCTCAGCTCGGTCAGTGAGACACACACCACTGGGTAACCTCTGCTGAGCGCCTTGTTTGTCTTCAGAGATTATTACTTTAAAGCTTTTTCTTATTTTCATGTCTTATTATCTAATTTTGACTAAATGTAAAAACGCTAAAAGTCCTCTAATTTGTTTCAGAAGCACACAAACGCCCGTTTTTCGGAGCCCAGCTCTTACAACAGCCTGGAGTTTGATCGTCTGACTCTTGACGTCTCGCCCGGTCCGACATCTCCCTCTAAAATCATAAACCTCCTGGATGAGAGTTTCCTGGAGTGCCCCAAGTGTCGGGCCCACTATCCCACCAGCCGCCACAGGGAGCTGCTGGCACACATTGACTTCTGCTTAGCCTGAGTCCAGATGTTTATTCCCTGCCTGAGTGTATGGATCCCATCTCTACCATGAAGGTTAGCAAGGTATCCAAGCAGAGAAAATAAACGATATTTGATACCTCCACTTGTTTAAAACTCCTCCAGGCCTCTACATTTTAAATAAAAAGGGATTTAAAAAAAAAAAAGATGACTGTTTGGTTATCTGGTCACGGTAGAATCTAGTCTTTGACCATGGGTAAAAAGTAGAGATGCACTGATTGTGAAAATCAGAACCCATACTGAGGTTTAAAATGACAAATCTCTGACTCCCTATTCCAACGCGGATGTTTTTTTTATTATTCTTCGTGTCTGTTTTTCAAATGAGAGATGAGATTGGGTGTGTTTGTTGCTGATCTTTCCCAGAGAAACAAATCAGAGTTTGTCCGACAGGTGACTTCTTCTCTGCCAACAGGGCTGATACCGATGTCATCCGATGAGTTTGTGCATCCTTTTTAAAATGTTAACTTCACTTCTTTTTTCGCCAGCTGTGGAACAACCCGACTACATCACAAAGAACCATTTAGAGAAATTAAGATCTTAATTTGAGATTATTTGATTTGTTCCGCTTTCAATACCAACACTGATTCCTCAAAAAGCTGTGTTAAAAACAACAAAGGTTGTTCAAGGATTTAAAAAAAACAAAAACGTTTTAACTTATCTAACAAAGCGACTTACCGTGAGTGCAGCGTCTGAACACGACTGATTTCATAACCGTGATGGGTTGAGGTGTATCCCCGTTTAATCTTCTTCTCTTGAGCTAGAATAACCTTTTTCTTAGGTAACACAGACGTGGTATTTAAACATTTATTTATTCAAGGGGGATGAGGGACACTCCAAAATGTTTATGTCTGAAACTGCTCCGTATTCAGTAAGACAGTTTAAAAAAAAAAAAAAAAAAATCCAGTTCTATAACCATTAGGCCAAAGATTGACATTTACCGAACTATACAATTACCTTCCTTTCTTTGTGGACTTTTTAATATATTTGTTGTATCTTTTTTTGGGGGGGGGGGGCATTGTATTTGTTTTGTTTTCCTTTGATGAAGCTCTTGTTGAAATACTGTAGTGTGTACTTGATGAACTTATTTATATTTGGGTTGTCTTTAAAAGTAAGATATTATTTTTCAAATAATTAAAGGTTTTATTTTTCTGCATTTGTTTTTTTTTTTTTTGGATTATCTGGGGAGTACATTGTATTTTATTTGTATGAAAGTTTACAAAGCAGCCAGAAAAGTGTTCCTCCACAGTGAGTTCCAGTAATCAATAAAACTGCATATCGGTTTAAATATTGGCGTCACATTTGGATTGTTTGAATTATACAGAGAATAAGAATCTCTGAGCAGCAACAATCAGTTTGTGTCCAAACAGTCAGGCAATCCTCGCTGATCAACGTTGAGTGTAACAATGACCAGGATCTGTCTCCAACCCGAACTGTTCACTCACTCAATTTGCCTAAACTCAACCAGACCTTTAGCTTTTCTTTTTTTGCAGCAGGGAGCTTAATTGGTCACATGGTGCCAGGTCGTTCATGTATTCTCCCGCTGTGTAAGTGAAGCTCACTTCTGTCTACACCTTGACTTTTCAAGCCTGCAGCCCTCTGAGGCTGGAATGAGATTGCATGAGTTAATTCCTTGTACTAAACTATTTAAGGCAGGGGGATTAGTGAAGGTGCCTTTATTCCTGCAGCCTCGGTAATGTGACTTGATAGACTTAAAGACAGACGGACACTGCTACACTGGCATATTTTAAGGGCGCTGTTTTGTTTGAACTGAGGATGTGTATCTTTTATAAAATGGGATCTCAGAATCTATTTTTGCTGTGTTTTATAGTTGACTTTATTTCATTGTAATCGTGGGCTCTAGAGTTGCTTTGCCTTGCACTGTACTGTACAAAAATGTGCAATAAAGATGAGAATCTCCTTCCAATGCAACGCTCCCATCTTTCTTTACTCATTTGTGTTTTTACATTAAGATTTTCTCATTTGTAAAATATAATGTTGAAATCGATTTCATACTGAACCTATATCATTCACTTTTAGTACTGTTACCACGCTGATCTATTTTACTCCAACTTCTAAGAATATCTGTCATTGCATACTCTTCAGTTTGACAGATAAGAGGTCTGTACTGTCGAGCTTAGCGTGACTGGGCTTTTGCGTTTCTCTCTGAACTGTACTTATTGTCAACTGATAATCATCATTAGTGTATTCACTATCAGACTGATGTAACACACTGCTGTTTTATCCTATAATTGATTTTTAAGCTTAATCTACAGAGAGAAAAAGGTACTCATGGAGAAAAAAAACCCTTTATCTGATCTGTGTAATCCTTTGTAACAAATTAGAGTCTGTGATTCGAAAAGATGAAAGTAAAAAAATCCCTTGATATTAACCTCTGTATCAGAAGTGTCACGGCTGTAGCCTTGTGTCTATGAAAGACCTGCTGATGTTCAGATCAAAAGCACAACCTTGAATTTTGTATTGCCTTTTAACAACATATTTATATATATGTATAATTCATCAATTGTTTGGCTCCACCATCACAACTAGTTCCTCGACTTAACTGTAACTGAGCAACACATCCACATTTTCTTTTTTCTTTTTTTTTGCATCTATGTACATGTTACCTCACTACACCTACTTTGAATAGGGCCAAATTATCAAAATGTTTCCATCTATTATGTGACCAGCTGAATAAGAATCTGTTGAGAATTGTGTTGTTCACAAACTAGATCAATCTCGACAAAGACTCCGTTGAGGTGAAGTGATACACACCTAAAAGTGTCAGTTTTGTCTCACTCTATACCCGCCCTCATGGAATACTTCTTGTCCTTTCAGATTACTCAAACAGAATTGGCCATTGTTTTTTGTCCAACATCTTGGCTGGTGAATAAACATTTTCTTACTGGGCTGAAAAAAAATGTTGCTATTTTTTAATTGTTTTGAGCATGATGAAGTCACTACATGATGAAGGCAAGACATCAGTTGATTAAAATTCATATTGATGAGCTGTACCAAATTTGAATGGCCGTTCATTGGTTTGTCTTTTTACTCCAAACCACAAATGTCAGCTTATTGGTTCCACTAGGGGACAAGTTAAAGGGATCAACAAAGACCCTGAGATACATAATCTGTGAAAAATCCAGGGTATGGGGAGATATTTCCTTAGAAAGGTTTATTCAAAAGCCTGCTTGTGGAGCTACAGGATGGTCAAAAGAAATTGGAACTGATACTTTTGATACCACTTACATTCACATTTTGTGGCAATCCACCCAACAGCTCTCAAGACAATCCAGTGGGAGGGGTAATGGTGGGTGTTGGATGGGTTTTAAATTTTGTGTAAAACCTTATAAAACCTTACACTTATAAAACCAAGCTGTGTGGGTTGGGTGGGGCCAATTCCTCACAGCCTCCTTTTTTAATACAGTACTCAAAATAAATACAAGCATTTCATCTAATTTGGACAGAATAATGTTTGTATGTGATGTATAGTATAATATCATTCTTAAAAACTTGACTTGCAAAAAGTATTTTTAGGTTGCTCAAAAACAGTCGAAGCAGCTGTTAAGCTTCAACCTACGTTTGTTCACTTGATTTGGTTTTGAACAACGATAAAGGTTTCAATCAAAACATCAAATTCTACATGTACTCAGATTTTCATGAGCATTGACTGACTGAGGCAAAAAGCAGACCATGTGACTTCATTATTTACAATCCAGGGATACAGACAATCAAAAATGGAACAATCCAACATGTTTTAAATGTTTTTATTTCCAAAAACTGGATCAAGAAGTATACATCATACAATCACCAAACAACCACACCATTATGCCATTATAGACTCATAATATGTACGTATTAAGGTTTTTGAACAATATCTGCTTTTATGCTGCACAACACAATCCTTCAGTGCAAAAGCAAAGCCAGTGATTTGTGAACCTGGTTTCTTTAGTAAACATGGGGGTTGTACTCTAGAGCTGCAGATATGCTGAGTCACTTCAAGGAGATTCCTAGATCTGATGATTAGCCACATTGGTTGATACACTGCAAAAGGGGTTTTTCAATGCTCTGATATGTCTGTTATTCTCACTGGGACAACAAAGGGATTCTACTAGTTCTACTGGAGGAAGGTTATTTCACACTGATCTGAAGTTCTTATACAAAAACTTGAAATGTGACGGATCTTAACTGGAGACTTAAATTGTTCAAAAAGCCAAGAACCTCCTTTACTTATGTGCAATTTCAGAAAAGTGACACCAACCCAGGATAAACCCTCATCTTTCCTTTCTGTTTGCTGTACAGAGGCTTAAATGTGACAATTTTTATTCGCTTTATTTTGGTGCATTTGGTGCAGAGGAATGGGCTTCTTCCTCTTTTTAGAGGACAGAGAATCTGTTGGGATTCAACCAGAGACCAGCAGAGGGGAACCCAGTCCCAGAGGTGCGAGCTTCAAAGAGGAAGATTTCTGAGTGTCGACAGATCAGCTGCTGTTTTCGTCGCAGAAACCTGAAAGAACACAAACAATCTATGTCATCACAAGAGCAAGAAGACAATCCTGATATCAAAATTGTATAATTCATTGACTTTAAATCCATTAAAATTCCAAACAGCCTCGAATTGCAGTGTTAGTTCATTATTCAATTGGTTCGCACTAAAGATATGGATCATAACTCACCATTGTGATCAACTCGTCTGTATTTGTTGATGAGGCAGACGTCCCGCTTCATCTGGGTGACCTGGGGCACGTCCTCTGGCCTCAGACCCGCCGGGTGACGTGAGAATATGAAGGAGTAGCTGTCCAGGCAAGTGCCATCAGCGTCTACTTGTCTGCAGGAGTAGTGGACGGCGTAGTTCTCGTAGTCGGTGTCGATCACCCAATGTTCATCGTCTGGGAAAAGTGAGGCAGAGTTTAGAATTTGACCTTATCTTCCTTTGGAATTTGTGAGCAGTGCATTGTATTTAAGGGCCACAAAAAGTGATCTTGGGACTACAACAGGCACAAAATAAACGTTTTACATTCATCTCTGATGTTTGTGTGGACTCATTTGTAGACAGCAGTAAACAATTTATCCAGAAAGTCCTATCACCACTGCTCTATGTTTGAAACTCCACACTTAAAGTTTAGAAAAGATGTGATTATTTCTTTATTGTTTCAAATTATTTTCTATAAATTTAGCACCTGGTCCAGTCTTAATACAAACACATTAGTGGAAGAATTAGTCAAAGTATCATCAAGAAAACAGCTGATGCAATCATACTGATGCATATGGGTAAAACTACTATAATAAAGTAGGGAAAAGGTCACCAGTGGTTTTAAAACTAGTTTAGGGATTGCATGCCATTTCTTAAATTGTAACTCAACCTCATATTATGAATTGTAGTACTGATTAATGAGTAACCATTCTTAATTTGATGTCAAAGTTACAGTCAACAACATGTTGTCCCCTTCTTGGAAAGCATTTTGTTGAATCATTTTTTTCAAAGGTCAGTTCACAGAGATAAAAGAGCTTCAGTTGATGATTCAATTAAATCAACAGTTATCTAACAGTCAACAATCCCTTTTGCAACACGACATCAGAGACTCTCAACCAATGAGGACAAGTCAATGCTTCCAAGGTACCTTGTGTTACATTTGTTGCCTCAAAGAAACAAACAAACTTAAGGACAGAATTTGAAGTAAGTTATCATCGGAAAAAAAATAAGCTGTAAATGTTGTAAAACACTTACTTCCAGTCTGCAGGTAGCTTGTGGCCCCCCAGTACTTCATCTTGAACTTGGCAGGATCAACGGTGTCCTCGAAGGTGGCATACATATCGGCACACAGTTCCCAGTTGCTGGAGGTAAAAAAAAAAAAAAAAAAGATAGGGAGAGTGTACTGGTTTGAGACTTGGAGCAAGGAATAAGATGTTAAATTAGAGTTCAAGAAGTGGAAAGGTGAGCCCACCAGAGTAGCAAACTGAACTCACTTGAGGATGATGACTCTGCCCTTAGCCCTGGCTTCCATTAAACCGCTGTCATCAACAGTAAAGTGAGCCACGACGTTGTCGATAAGGAACAAACCTTCTGGGTCCTTCTTGGCTACAGCATACCAAGACCCTGCATACTGTTAGAAAAAAAAATATCTGCTTCAGTCCACTTCACACCTCAATAATTCTGTTAAACCAAATGTATTTGATAGTTTTTATAAACAGTTTGAAAATAAAACCATTGAGGACATATGTCATTAAAGTAGAACTTAATAATACCCAGTGTACTTTCAGCTCACCTTTGTTCTGTTAAAGTTCTGCATGACCTGGATGTTGGCTACCTGGCAGTCCTGTGCCCAGGACAAAGCCAGGAGACAGAGGGCGACAACAAAACGCAGCATTCTAATTGACAGAAAGGAAAAACAAAAAAATATATCAAAAATACAAAAAATACTTTTTTCCGACACATTGCCAGTTCATGTCAATTCAGTTGGAGTTAAATGTGCCTTATATTTACACAAAAAACGCCCCCTCTGTACCAAAACCTTTTAAAAGCAAATCAACTCGCTAAAAAAACTTTTCCGCCAGTGTTTTAAATACAATACATGGCAACAACACAAAACTATGTCTCCTACAACGACCAAGTACATACCTGGTAACCCAAATGTGGAAGGCTCACAGAGATCCTCTGTTTTTTCTTGAAGGTAGCAGCCTTATATACAGTGAGCTGGTATTGCATAATGTCTTGCAATGGGAGCAGACCCTCCCCTGCTCTCCCCACAGCTAGCTTGCCTTCCATTGGACAAACATTTACATAACTTCAGACCTCATTCCTATTGAATTGTGTGGTCACATGGTCTACCATCCCTCCATATGACACCCCCCCCCCCAAAATAAATTGTTTTTTTTGGCAGAACTGCTGAAGTGTTTTTTGTCTTCTGAAAGTCTGCCACCAACAAAGCAAAAACAAACATCTGGAATATACTTTAAAATGCCTGCTAGATGGATACAAACATCAACCTTTCACACAAATATACGACTTTGTCAGTGACAGTTGATTGGAAAAAGTTGTAGCTTGATAGTTGTTTTCTGCGTACTTTGATGCACTTGCACTAGACTACATTTAGACAACACAAATCTGAAATGTGTTTATACGAGTGGACTCAACCCGTGTCAGTGTCAGTAAACTGGATCGCACTAAATGCTGTTTTCTTCTTTCTATCCATATTATAACGTCAGCTGTTGACTCTACTTAGTGCTCACTGGAGCTCTTTGTAACTCAGAGGACTGTTTGCATAAATGGTTGAGAGAGTGCCTAGAGTTCACTCACAACTAAATCTAATCAATATGAAAGATTTTTTAAAAGAAAGATCATTTAATCACTGAGTCTTCAGTTTGAAATGCCAATCACTCATGAGTAAATGAATCAAATCATACAAAGCATTGTTTTTATTTACAGGAATCGGCTAGCAAACAGTTTCTTAACTTTGTCAAACTGCTTATAAAACTATGTGGAGACCAGCAAGTCTGAAAAAAGGCCCGATACTGATACAGAGTACATATAAACGTGAAAAAATTGTTTCCTATTTAGAAAACATTACATTTCACCAATAACGGCAAATGAGCTGTTACAATTCTGCACAGATACAATGGTTTTACTTTAAAGTGCAGTCCAGTTGAGACGATGTCCAACTCTCTCTCTCTCTCTCTCTCTCTCTCTCTCTCTCTCTCTCCCTCTCTCTCTCTCACACACACACACACACACACACACATATAACTGTTCTCTATAGCCTGAAAATGTTATACATTGATGCTTTTGTTTTGCAGTGAGATCATGTAACCGGTCCTCAGAGGGTGCTTGGTTGAGTAAAACAGAACAGTCCAGCCAAACATCTGCAGATTGTGTAACCACAGCCCTGGCCAGTTAAAAACAACCCAATCCCTCCTTTTTCAGCAATGATAATGGTGGTTGGAATTTGGCCAGAGGCAGTGCAAGATTTCGTAACAATGAGGATTGGCCAAGGAGGTCTGCCAGGTTTTTTGTATGCATTTAACTTTTTGGCACACATTGTGCAAAATGGAAAAAGCAGAAGTTGGTTTGTGTGTTATGAAAGGGAGTGAAACTAAAGTAACTTGACATCCTTAATAACCCTCTGCAGCAAGAAAAATAAAAACACATATACACAAATTTCTGTGCTCAGGGGCGTCTGCTTAGAGCTCAGTTGGTAGAGAAGGCTCCCCTGTGCACAGGTTACAGTCCTTGTTGCACTGGTTGCAGGTTCAAGTCCCGAACCTGATGCTGCTTGGTGCATGTCATCGCCAACTCTCGTTCCTGGGGAGACATCTCCTGTCTCTGTAGACATGAAGGGAAAGTGTTCCAGCACTTCAACTTCATCATCCACAATCCTCCGAGTTCAGACAGTCACACATATAAAGCTCAAAACATAAGAATGAAGAGTACTCAGTTTTTTGTTGTTCAATGAAAGGAATCTATTTCTAAAATAATCAATACATCTGTGTTTGTGTTTTAAACTTAACCAACTTAAGTAGGTTTAACTTGATCTCTGAAGAATTGTTAAAGAAACAAACAACGCTTGATTTGGAACACCTTAACCAGGCAGAGTAAATCACACGATAAAAAAAACAGATCACTAGGATTGTCCTGGAAGGGGTCCTGGAGGGTAAACTTGGGATGCTCAGACACTTACTTCAGAGGATCAAAGAATTGTTAGAGGGATAAGCGAGTACATTTGATGGACACTTTGAATAGCATTCTCTGCCATCAGTGTGTGAATGAATGGGGGAGTGTGACATGTAGTTTAATATTGTTTTGAGTGGTTGAAAGACGATTGGTGTTAATTTAGCGTTTCACTTCACTTAATATAATTGTGCTTACTAAATTCTGAATAACTATTAAGTATGCGCAACATAATGTTCAATGTGTCATTTAAATTCGAACTAATACAGTAAAGTTGAGTTAAGACAGTTTGGTTGGATTGGATTCATGTAGTAATCATAAATTATCTTGTTCTTTCCCAGTTTACTAAAGGCAGTTTTGTGGAACTGGTTGACATAACAAAACTAAGGAAATGTAACATTTTATTTCTTAGAGTGCTGTTAGTGATGGGAATTACTGAGCCAGATCATTTTGGCTGAGCTTAGCAGTAAGCTTCGCCTCTCCAGGCTCCTAAATGGCTCCATAATCACCCCTTGAGTTAGCACTTCTTCCGCCTTTTTGTAATTCAGCCATATTAAACAACATTTTTAACTATGATTGGTATGTGCACAGTTGTTTTTCCCCTTTGATTATTCAGTGTAATTATAAGATATCTTGATAATTTGAAAATGCCATGATTTTAAAATGAGTCTATGATAAAGGCTGAGTAAATATCCTGTTTATATTACAAAATTATACAATGCATCTGACCATGCTATTTGATTGGTCAGAGAGGCATTCTATGAGAGCTGGGACTCTTTACTATCACTCCAGCACAAATACTGTAAACAGACTTTTATTTTAGTTGTTGGTTGCTGAACAGAAACCATAGTCTTTACGGATATAGTCTCTGTGACGTCACCCATTGGTTTCTGAAATGGACGAATGAAGCTCATATGGCATCCATCATATTGGAGATACTGGCTTAAAATATTTATCGGTCAACCTTGTCAAAGGCAAAGTGCTGGAGCTGTGGCAGGCTGTAAGCCTCCAGACAAAGAGCTACAACGCACCTGCCCATCAGTCAGATCAGCCACACCCCTTATTACCAATAACTCTCACCTTTAATACCATCAAAAGAGAAGTGATAAAAGAATTCAACCCTTGTATAGTATGTGACAATAAAGACAGACACTATTCAGACTAAAATGTTTTTTTTTTCTGCACCAGCATGTACACTTGTTATTTCTACCGTCAAAATGGACATTTTGATTGGGGGTGTGTATGGGACTCCTGGGTCTCTTGGAGCGAGCCTCAAGTGGAGACTCAAGGAACAGAGTTTTTTGCTCTTCCGCATTTGCTTCATTTTTTTCAACAACAGAGGATGCCACTAAACAGAAGTTTACAAATAAACGTACAAAACACGAAACTTGGTCTGTAATAACATGTAGACTCACACAAAGTCGCAGGGAAGGAGATATTTGTGTTTCTGGTCTTACGGTCCAGTTCCAGTCAAGTTCTGCATCTATTTCTTTTGCTGAAGAATGCTGAAACTTGTATAAGTTATCTTATAGTATAAGATATGATTGTTTCAGTACTCAATATGTGACCTCCCGCCTATTACCAAACTACAATGTAGCTGTTGTTCAGTTTAAGAAGCTCTTAAACATCACTTTTTTTTTAGATTACTGATTACATTTAAATTGCTCAATTATACCCGTCCGTCCTTTCTGACAGCATTTCCTCTTTGGCACAACACCCAACCAGTGTGCCTACTGTGTAATGGTCTACTCTAATTTATTTCCGCAACGCCCACACACATACCTTTTGTAGCTCCCCTTGATAAACTTGCCTTAATCCCCACAGCAAAAAATAGTGGGGAACTCCTTGTCTTGCCAGCTTGCCAGCAGCTAGCCAGACAGTGCACTTAGTTAATAATAGCCAGCCATCTTTGTTTAGGACCTTGTTCTCAGACATCCAAGTCTCACTGGTTGGCCATTGTCCAGTTCTGGAACTGATACCTCCATGATGATTTAATACGAGCAACTTGGTTGGTTTCTTGCGTGTTAGGTTCTGAACACATTCACTGATAGTTACTGACACTACGCTGTTTAGGTTACTTTATCTTCCATAGCAACAAGGACAGAATAGCAGTAAAGCGGGGTTGACTCACAAGGAGGTCATTTAAGGCAAGGGCATCTGACACCATGTTTTAAAGCTAGCTCAAATTGTTTAATACGCTAAGGGTTGTTTGACTAAGTAGGCTATCTCCAAAGTGTTTAGTGTTGTGTCATGTGTAGGCTATTTGGATAAGGGGGCTTTTGAAAATCATCTGAACCAATGTGATGGAGCCTTCAGCATCCAACCTGACATTTAACCTGAAAACAGTCTCACTGCTGCCTTCTCCCTCAGATGGGGAGGATAGCCCGATATAAAATGATCAGCGTTGGGATTTGCGGGTTAAGGACGCTTAGAGCAGGGGGTTTAATGTCATGACGTCACATTAATTAGCGGCCACTTTGATCCTTTCAGCCTCTAAGCCGCACTCTGTCCTGTTCTGTCTGTCGGCGGACACGGGACGTGTCAGTGAATCCCTCAGGGACCGTGGAGGAGAATGAACGTCCACTCAAACGGATGCTACTGATCCACCCAACCCTGTAGGCCACAAAACAGCTCCCCTCTGCTTTTTTTTTTTTTACCTTCTCTGCAGGTGATGCTTTAGTAAAAAAACAAAAAAAAAACAAAAAAAAACGACGGGAATAAACCACAATTTGAGTTCAACATGGCAGACAAGGATAGCGTGGAGAAATACCTGGAGAACAACCCGCAGTTCGCCAAAGAATACTTTGATAAGAAGTTGCGCGCCGAAGCCCTGTCCGCCGCCTTCTCTGCTCCTCTGGACATCAAAGACACCGCTTCCTTCAAGGATCTTAATTCTGTGCAAGAGTCCGGCCTCATCTTCGAGTTGGTCCAGGAGATGCAGAAACAGGCAGTCCCGATGGAGCAATCCCTCCACAAAGTGTTGCAGAGAGTCGCCCTGATATTGCAGGCCGACAGGGTCAGCTTTTACTCGTGCCGGTCCAGAAATGGAATCCCCGAGCTCGCCACTTGCCTCTTTGACGTGAACCCGACGTCCAAGTACGAGACAAACCTGGTCAATCCGCAGGGGGAAATTGTGTTCCCTCTGGAGATGGGTATCGTCGGACACACCGCGCACTGCAAAAAGCCTCAAAATGTTCCCGACGTCTCAGCGGTGAGAAGTCCTTAAGTGTCGGCTCTCTGTAGTGTGGAGTGTAGAAAGTGACGCTGGCTTCAAATTATGACAAAACAGTCCAAATGTTCTGAGATGAGATACTTCCCTGTTTCTTGGCTGGCTGGTAATTTTCAAAAATGGCCTGCGTTAATTGTTTCATAAACTTAAATAGGTAGGCTAGGAAGGCCTGCATGGAAAAACTCAAGACTCCCCAATGTGGGACTAATGAATAGATAGCCCTGATTATTATCCACCTGGACTATAACTACCCTAGATTTATCAGGAACTAAACACACTTCATTGCGATTTTGCAATTGCTGATTTGAGAATAAGAGAACAAATTATGGCTTTACATTATGTTTTTTGTTTTCATTTGCCAGTGCCTACCATTTCTACAGCATGAGTGAGATTTTTAAAAAAAAACATGTTGATTTGGTTGATTTACAGATCCTTTATTTCATTTTCAAATGTAGGCTACACGTGGCAAAAACAGTCGTGGTAATACTGAAAATGACTAACCGAACAACAAATTCTAGTGTGTTGTTTAAGTAAGATCTGACAGCTGCATTTGAAAAGGAGAAACACCTACCATTGAGGTTATAAATCTCAATCTGACAGTCAATTAATAAGCATAAAAAACATGTTTAGAGCAACATATAATTGTATGTTGTGTTGTTACTTTACATCCTCCCTTTCACATTGAAACCCCATCTGATATGGTTTTCTTTGTCCCTCGATGCAGAATAAAAAGTTCTGTGACTTTGTGGACAAACAGACCGGATACAAGACAAAATGCATGCTCACTTTCCCTCTGGTGGCTGACAAAGAGTGCCTTGGCGTCGTCATGGCACTAAACAAAATAGGAGCTGATACGTTCTCTGCAGAGGATGAGACGGTAAGAGTACATACTGAATCATGTACATTCACACTTGTGTGTAGAGAGTCACAGAGTGAGCTGAAACACGGCTGTGTTAAATGATGAAGTGAAGCCTAATTTGATCTTTATGTTATTATTTGTGTTGTTATCTGGAGACGGTTCTGCACAACCTGCAGGAATTCAACGTCCATCGTCTGTAGCTGTTTATCTGCTGCTTTAAAAAAAAAGCCTGTGCACTGCTATCACAGATTTACAGCTAACTAGAGATTATCAATGTAGTCTGATTACATCTCGCTGTAGGGTGCAAAACACTCTCCTGATGTCAGTGGCAGCCAATCACACTTAACTATATTTGGTTGCTTTTTCAGGAATTGATGTATTAAAAAAAAAAAAAAGGGCATTATGACTTCACTCACTTGTTATCTCTGTCGTCTTTATTATTCACCTCTGTCTCTTGTAGATTATAAAACCACAAACTCAAACTGAGGCTCAGTAAAAATAGTGATTCTAACAATCTACAAAAAAAAAAAAAAAAACAGGAATCACTGCCAGGAGCCAAAGCTTTAGCTGCTTAATATGCATTATGATGCCTTCAATCTTTGCATACTTTGTGTTTAGAATGTGGACTAATTGTTTGGGTGGTAAAAAAAGCTGGCATCTCCAAAACATAAACCCTGATTTAAAAGTTTACACGATCAAGCATCAAATGATTGGAAAAGTAAAATCCCAAGTGCAATCGACTCTCATCAACCCATGAGATGAATATTTTGACATGAACCTTTATTCAGGATCTTTGTTACGGTCTAATTTTAGTTTTTTTTTAACATCAGTGTGAGCAACATGATGATACATGCTCTGTACAACCATCATATTATTCTTACACACTTCCCCTTTATGATGCTTATGTTGTTGTTGTTTTTTTTTTTACTGCCGATGAAGCTGAAGTGTATCGTTTTCGCATGTGCATCAGTCCCTAAAGCTGCTGCTGTGTATTGATGAAACCTCTAATCTGCTTTGGTCTTTAGCTCTTCCACAAGTACATGAACTTTGCTCAAGTCATCGCCCTGCAGCATTACACAGCCTACATGTTCAACGTGGAGTCCAGAAGGAGTCAGGTAAACTCAGCTGCTGCTGTTAAATACACCAGTGCTCTAATTATCCCTCGTCCTCCACAGGGAATTCTGCACCATTAGGCACTGATTAACACTTTGTCCCCTTGTAGTAATCTGATGTTTATTTGAAAGCACCAGCTGAAATTTCACTCTCCATACATACGATGCCATTCTCTGTCCTATAGGTGCTTCTGTGGTCGGCCAGTAAAGTGTTTGAGGAGTTGACAGACATTGAGAGACAGTTCCACAAAGCGCTCTACACTGTAAGGACCTATTTACAATGCGAACGATACTCAGTGGGTCTGTTGGACATGACCAAAGAGAAGGTTTGTGTGGGGAGACAAGATTCAGTTTTTCAGATAGGATTTAGTAGATAGCATTCAAGGCAACATGCTTAAATTACTTTTAAAAAACAACAACAACCAACAACTCATGTTGTCTGCAATTCTCCCCCCTGAAGGAATTCTATGATGAATGGCCTGTGAAACTGGGAGATGTGGAACCCTATAAAGGACCAAAAACACCAGACGGCAGGGTAACCAACTCATTTGTCTCCCTGTGTCTCCGCTCTATTTTTTTTTTTTTTTTTGTCACATCAACTTTGAAGCCATGTGCAGGTGATCAATACTTTTTCAAATGCTTCTGTTTTCCAAACAGGAAGTCATCTTTTACAAGATTATTGACTACCTCCTGGAAGCGAAAGAAGAAATTAAAGTCATACCGTGAGCATTTTCAGTTCCATGCTACACATACACTCAAATAACAGCATTATAAAAAGTAAACAAACAGTTTTTAGTGATTATTCTTTTTTTTTTATTAATAATTTAATGATATTCAACGTTTAAGCTTGCACTTAGTCAAATTAACAAACCTCAGGTTTAAAGAAAGGGAAATGGAGGCATCCTGTTTGATTTAAAATACATGAAGCACTGATAGTCTGCACAGTTTTTACGAGCTCCCTTTATGTGAAAGACCTCTGATTGTTTCTCTCTTTCCTGCTTTCTTTCAGGGGTCCACCTGCAGATCACTGGGCTCTAGTTAGCGGGCTACCCACCTATGTGGCAGAGAACGGCTTTGTGAGTGTCTTGCTGCTGCCATAATCATCACAATCTCTATAAAATTATAAGACAAAATAGAAAGTAATGACTCATGGAATTTAAGAGTGCAGCTACACACTTAGTTAAAAATGAAGGTAATAGATTATCCATTTGGAATACTGTATATGAACTAATTGGAGTAGTTGTGTGACATTTGAATGAATGTTGGGATGAAGTAGATTGCAACGACTGATAAGAAATAGGTATCAAGTTACATTTACAGAGTCTAGAACTGTAGCTAACTTCTTGAAATGTGACCTCCTGCAGATTTGCAACATGATGAACGTGGCTTCAGATGATTTCTTCACTTTCCAGGTAAGGGGAATTGAAAGGTCACACAATATATTGAAATAAGTCTCAGAGCTGCCTTAAAAACATGTACGTGAAGTTTCTTGCTATGAATCCACTCTGATCCTGTATTTGATCACGCCTATAAAGCCCTTCATTTCAGCCCTGCTCAGAACAGGCTGTTTCTGTTTCTGAAGCTTTAAATGCAAACAAGCTTTTGTTTGAGCATGCCCCCCTCTCTGGAAGGGGATGGAAAGGCAGACTCAGAGGGCAGAACGAACACCTAGCTGTGGGAGTGTCACCCATAAAAGGGAGGGGTTACTGCCCTTTGTGATGTCATGATGGGAAATTCTCCAAACGGCCTGTTTGAGCACATTTTCTGAAAAGAGGAAAGACGGAGAGGATTACTTTTCTCATTTTTGGGTAGTTGGTAGACAGACACATATTTGCGTTAGAAAAACATCCTAAATTGCATTTTGCGTAATATATGCCCTTTTTCTGTTCATCCACAAGTAGACAAGTTGTGTATTGATTTCTTGATATTCATCACAAAGCATTCAGAGGCTGATTGATTGATTCAATTTGTTTTTTTTATATTCTGTGTGTTTCAGAAAGAGGCTGTGGATGACACAGGTTTTGTCATCAAGAACGTCTTGTCGCTGCCCATCGTCAACAAGAAGGAAGAAATAGTGGGTATCGCCACTTTCTTCAACAGGAAAGATGGCAAGCCGTTTGATGAGCACGATGAGCAGATCACTGAGGTCAGCACCCTGCACCCCTTTTTTTTTTATTTCCCCTGCATCATCACACACTTGTCTGTGTTTGCACATACTCTTACTATACGCAGTAGGTCAAGGTTTTCCTACGTGAAGTAAAGGATTTGTTTTGATTTTGGAGTATTGTGCAGCTTAAAATTTGCGAGTGAAGAAGAAAATGTTCTAAAAGAAAAGTATCCAAAAGCTTGATTAATGAGGGTACAACTGCTGTCTTTGATCTTTTCCTCACTCTTTTTTTTTTTCTTTCGCTGTCATGATGTGCACCAGGCCCTGACACAGTTCTTGGGTTGGTCGGTGCTGAACTGTGACACCTACGACAGGCTGAACCGCATGGAGTACAGGAAAGACATCGCCCAGGAGATGCTCATGTACCAGACCAAATGCACCACTGCTGAGATGCAGTCCATTCTGGTCAGTGTCAGGCTCTCTTTTCTCCACATTTACTCTCCAGAGGCTTCTTTTTCTTTTTTTTTTTAAATCTCTCACCTTCAGGCCTTTGATGAAGCAAGGCATCAACAGTAGTCAAAGGTTAATGCACCGTGAATAGCTTTTTGTTGGACAGCAGTCCTCTTATGGCAGCTATTACATGACTAATGAAAGGTCTCGTGGATCACTTATCCACTTTGGAAGCTTAACATTGGAGACAACGACACAGCAGTTTAACACATTGAGCGCCTGTTTGAAGCGATTGAAAATAAAACATCTTGATTTTATTTTGCTGTAATTTATGAAGGCATGTTCAAAAGCTGAATGTTAAATGTTAATGCATCCTTTTTCTTCTTTTTTTTTTTATAACCAGAACACCAAAGAGAAATTTGACGCTGACCCTGAAGACTGCGAGCAGAAAGACATGTACAAACTATTGGTAAGTTAAGGGGCTTTATTTTTTTTTCGGTCAAAAAACTAATAATAATTATATATATTTTATACGTTAAAAATCATTGTGTTAAATCAAAAAGATTTAAGTTTTCCTTTTGATATTTTAACTTGTGAGGATTGAATTATTCACGGATGCCTTCCGTCTGAATTGCGTTGTGCTTTTTTTATTTTTTTTTTATTTTTTTTATTTTTTCAGAAAGCAACATGCCCGCCAGCGGACAATGTCAATGGAGAGAATCTGTACCTGTTCTCCTTCAGCGACTTCCCCGTCACAGAGCACGACCTCATTAAATGCGGGATTCGCATGTTCTTTGAACTGGGAGTCGTTGAAAAGTTTAAAGTTCCGGCAGAGGTGAACCTTTGATTATATTGAATTTTTATACCCATATTGAATGAGAGAGTTTTTTTAAATGCAAACATGTAGAGCACTTAAAAATACGTCAAGCACAGAAACAAGGCTTCAGGGTGAATGTTCAAAGCATCATCTGAAAACCCTTTGAGGTGAGCTGCATACTGCCGTACGCCTGTTTTTCAGTCTGTATGATCGTTAATTGGACACAAATCTCAGAGTTAGCTGTGAAGGTAAAGTGTGTTTCCAAGGGCTAAATGACTTGTATAAAAAGGTCACAGTGAGTAATTGCTCATCCAAAAACTCTCTCAATTGTTCCTTTTCCTCCTAATTAAATCTTCTCTCTGGTTATATATATATATTTTTTTATTTTTTTTATTTTTTTTAAATATCCGACCTCTCCCCCCCTCAGACTCTGACCAGGTGGATGTACACAGTGAGGAAGGGTTACCGTGCCATCACCTACCACAACTGGAGGCACGGCTTCAACGTGGGCCACACCATGTTCTGCCTGCTGCAGGTAACGCTCCGCACAACATCTGCAAAACACCAACACTGCAGCTTGACTGGTTCAAAGTAAGAGTGCTTTCTCGAGTGTTTCACATCTTCTCATTCCCCCGCAGAACTCCAGGCTTGTTAGTCTGTTTATCGCAGGCGCGCTGGTTAGCTTCCTGCACAATATTTAATGCTACACACGCAGTGACAAGACGTACAAGACACATTGCATGATTCATTTCCTAATTCTCAAGAAAGTCTTTGAACTCAGGTGGAAAAAGGTTCCACATCTAATCTGAAAACATGAAAGCAGGCGTATTGACGTTGTCTCCAATTTCCTGATTTAGATTGCTTTTAAACTGGCTACAAAGAAGTCAGAAGGAATTATGTGTTTTTATAGACATCTGAATCTATACCAGCTGCCCCCACCTAAGCACGATTTTTTTTTCCCCCACAGACAGGAAGGCTGAGGAAGTACTATTCTGATCTAGATGCCTTCGCCATGGTGGCCGCCGCTTTCTGCCACGATATCGACCACAGAGGAACCAACAACCTCTACCAGACAAAGCAAGTGGAGACATGTTACGATGCATGTGGAGTGGATCACCTACATGGTCTTTTTATTTTAACCTACGGTATCTTTGTTTCTCTTCTTTAGGAGTGCACATCCTCTGGCTAAACTTCATGGCTCCTCCATTATGGAGAGGCACCATTTGGAGTACAGTAAGACGCTCATGGGAGAGGAGGTACGACAAGCATTACTTTGAGGACGATTTGAAAAATAATACTTTGAGAAAATGAGCAGACATTTTGAACCACTCTTCATTGTCCCTCACAGAGCCTCAACATCTTCTGCAACCTGCAGAAGCGTCAGTTTGAGAACGTGCAGCATCTGTTTGATGTCTGCATCATCGCCACCGATCTGGCCCTTTACTTCAAGTAGGTTCTCTGACTCAACTCTCAGACCCAACTCATCACTGCTAGCAGCTAACACGCTACAGCCTCACACATAAAGTCACTGGAATCAAATTGATCTGATGTTGCTCCCAGATTTTCTGTCTACATGGTATCAGCCTATGTCGTTGGTCTGACTGGCTGTCCACTAATGTGGTCCTTTTTTTTTTTTTTTTCCTTTGCAGAAAGAGAACCATGTTCCAGAACATCGTGAATGCCACAGAGCCAATGGCGGATGAAAAGGAGGCCATTGCTCACATTTCCAACAACCCAACAAGGAAGGAAATTGTCATGTACGTAACTGATTCAAGCAAATGATGAATATAGTTGAAATATATTTGTGAAGGAGAGGTCTAAAAAACAGAAGTAGTGGGATATGTTTGCTTTTTTTGTCGCTGACTCTCCTGTCTTGTCTGTTCTTGCAACCTTCAGGGCCATGATGATGACAGGTTGTGACTTGTCAGCTATCACCAAACCCTGGGAGGTTCAGAGCAAGGTGGGTGGCCTTTACAACCGCTGAACTACACAGATATAGAGAGGCTCAAAAGAAGTAAATGAGATTGTTCAAATAAACCTGTCCTGAGTCTTTGATCAGGTTATTCAGCCTAGAATATTACATTTACGCTCAGAAGTTCTGTGTTTGTTATTACTTTATAGAAGCTTTATAGGAGGTCCAAAAACATGTTTCATATTTACAGCTGGCTGTGAAAGTCCCATCCTGATCATGTTAATATTATAAGTGGTAAAGAGTTCCACATTTTCCTCACAATTCAGGTGAATATGATTATTTCATTAATGTAATCCATCCAATATAGATAGATAGATAGATACTTTATTGATCCCGCGGGAAATTTAAAGCATCCAGTAGCAGGTTACAAAGACGTACATGACATGAAACATTTGTTACAAATTAACCACAAAACCAACGCCCCCTCCCTCCCATACATATATATTAATCCTGAAAAAAAGATTTAAAGAATACCCCGAGATGAATCAAACTTAAACTGTGCAATTAAAAATAGACTTATACAAGAAATGTACATAACCCATGCAGGGATAATAATAATAATAATAATATCAGTCTCCTATTCATAAATAAAATAATATAGATTAATTTACAAAGCACCTTTCATACAGGTGAGTAATTCAAAGTGCTTTACTATTAACTTAAGTGAAGAAATGGGTGATGAAGAAACAGCACCGTTCAAATGTGAGAGAAAAAAACAGAGTGACGATTAATGTTGAGTACATTTGACTTCAACCGTCCTGCATAATGTGAACAGTTTGCAGCCTTTATAGTTTTAGTAAGAGAGTTCTACTGTTGTAGTTTGTTGTTAAAAAAAAGGGGAGAGATGTTTTCTGACAGTATCTAAACTGGCTGCAGAGGTTGATAGATGCCGTGAATGATTTAAAAATGATTAAGAATTCGTACTGTAGGCCTGTCCTTACCCATGAAGACTAGTCTTATTACGTTTAAATCAATCCAACAAGAAACTGGAGAAGCCAGTGAAGGTTTGCTTAAACGCTCTCTTTTCTCTGTCTTATTCAACTCCAGGTGGCTCTGATGGTCGCTGCTGAATTCTGGGAACAAGGAGACTTGGAGCGAAGTGTTTTGGACCAACAACCAATTGTACGCTTCACACCTCTCCTGTGCAATCATTGCCTTTCGCTTACTTTGTTTGTTTTTTTTAAGCTTTCTTGGCAATGTTTATCATCCCAAACTCTCCTGTGTGTCTCTCCTCTCAGCCAATGATGGACAGAAACTGTGCCGAACAGCTACCCAAGATGCAGTGTGGATTCATTGACTTTGTGTGCTCGTTTGTATACAAGGTAATAAATGGCTTTGCTTATACACACATCCATCATTTTTTTTGTATGAAAAAACAAACAATTATTACTCAATAGAAAAGAGCCGAAGGTTTTATGATGATGTTCTATGTACAGAAAATGTAAACACTCCTCAGTCAAATAGGGGATCGGAAAGATTTAACAGCTCTTGTTTGTTTTACATTTTATAGCAAACAATATTCATGTCTAAGAGTTGTTTTCATTCAGTTCAGTTGAATCAGTTTTTATACTTTTATAGTAGGAGCTCAACAAATGCAAACAGAAGATAAACTGACCCTACTCAGAACCCATTGTTTAAAGTCTGGCTTTCTATCTCCAAGGCAGTCATGTTTATTATGAAGCCATTCTCGTTTATCTGTGCAAAGTATTTATTTTATTTTTTTATGAGACTGTCCTTAAGGTGCAGCTTCAACTCTGCCATGACAGAGCTGAATAAGAAGCTAACACAAAAGTAGCATGTACACTTGATCTCCAATGCAGTCTAATATCGGAAACAGTTAGATTAAAAAACAACCAAAAAGTCGACTGCTTAACTTATTCCCTTATTGCATCTCTTTGAAAGAGCTTTTGTTTTTGGAGCTACAGTCGTCTCAGGCTGGATGTCAGGATGTATGTGCATGAACCTGTTGAACTCAGCCGGCCCCATCAGGAATGTCAGTTAGCTGTTTGTCACTTTGTCAGGATGGTATTTGGACAAGAAAGCACACATCCATAACTATGAACCATTTGTTGGTGGTCCCAAGGGGGGCTCCTGGTCAAAAAGGAATGCTACATTTGCAACAGCTAAATCGAGAAAAAAAAACATACACTTACACTCAAGAGTTTTGTCCTTTTTTTTTTTTTCAGGAGTTCTCGAGGTTCCACAAGGAGATCACACCCATGTTCGACGGCCTGAACAACAACCGGGCACAGTGGAACGCGCAGGCCGAGGTGTACAATGCAAAGATGAAGGCCATTGAGGATGAGAAGAAGAAACTAGAGGAAGAGGAAGCTAGAAAAGGTACATAGAATGGATGTTTACTATAGTTAAGTGTTGAAAATCTTCCAACCTCAATACTTTTTATTTTTTATTTCTTGTTTGTCCAGCTGGAGGTGGAGATGGCGGGAAGTCGAAGACCTGCACCATCTGCTAAGTCGCTGCAGTGCTTGGATCCGGACTGATGCGGTCGGGTTAGGACCAAGCTAGGCTACTCTAGCCTAATCTTGTCTGACAACTAGTCTAGTTGGAGCTTGACTCGACTAGCTCGGTCTGGTCTGATCTACACCAGCATAGTTCACTCTCTGGTTAGGTGCTGTCCGCTCTGGTGCAGGCCAGCCCTGCTTTGGTCTGGTCTGGAACAGTCTAGCCTAAGCTTTAGTCTAGCATAGTCAGGTCTGGTCTGCGGTGCCGGCCTAACTCTTCTCCAAGGAGGGAAGAGTCAGAAACATCACCGAGAAGAAGTTACGTTGGGACTCTTGACTGCAAGAGAAGCTGTTTGACTCTGATGTCTTTGAAACGTCCTCCATCTTCTGCGTCTGCATGAACATCTGAAAAACCAATATCTACATGGACAACATATATCTCCCTTTAAGGTAGCAATAATGGAAGTGTTTGTGACATGTATGGTTTGAAACCGTGGTTGTATTTGCTCATAAGCTGTTACCAAATGTTCCAAGTCCAGCTAATGTACAGATCCAAACTCTTTTAGTAGCACTTAAGGTTGTACAATGCACTTAGCTGCTGCTGTTTGGCAGTGGCAGGCCATGTCTGGTTGATCAGGGACAAATAGAACAAAACTTTATACTCTCGGGATTTGGGGTATGTTTCTGGTTTTCGGTTGAAGTAGTATAAAATGTGAAAATGCAAAGAATCTGTTCATGCTGTTCGACAAACCTTGGATTAGGGTGGCGATAGTCAACAAGGGCTGATGTTCTCTTACCTCAAAAGGCGCTGACGAAATTGTAAACGAGTGTATTTATTTTAATATGCAATCTATCTATACAAGTATTTATTTTTTTGTTTCATTGTCTGAGAATTTTCTACTTGAACTGTCGTCATGGATGGAGAGTTTGAGTGTAGCTTTCAGAGGGAAGGCGTTGTGAATCTGCCAGGAAAGGCATTCTAACATCACGAAGGTGTTGAACTTAACTTGTCCGCTTAAAAAAAAAACTCAGCTTTTTTTTTTTTTCGTCCAGAAAATGTGGACGAATGACTAAAGTCAATAAATGTATTATAAACACCAGTGTTTAGCGCACAACTACAAGACCGTGTAAATTCAACAAAGATCTCTTGCGCGTGCATAATTTCAGTTTATAGATTATTACATAGAAATGTAAAGTACAAATTGTTTAAGAATAAAAGCAGCATACAACTGATTTGAATGATGTACAGTCAAAGCAACCTTTGCCTCTTGTGAGGGAGCAAGAGTCAGTTAAACAGGGTACAGTAGATCGGCCTCTCCTGTAAGAAGATTTGATAGGATTTGATTGCCAGCCAGTGTTTGAGATCCACACAGCTTTAATCTTTAAATACCCTTCTTACAGAGGAGGTAAGGGAGGCTACCAAAGTCTTACATATATTTGCAGATGACTTTGTTTTAAAATGTGGCTCATACAGTTATAGCATTGATTTTTATGCTGGTAATAGCCAAAGTCCATTTTTTGTTTGACTTCAACTCATCACACATCACCTCTCAATGCAAACCCAAAACTGAACTTGATTAGGTCAGGCATGTGAGTAGACAGCAAACCCCTAGTGAACTTTCTGAAACACTTTTAGCAATATCCCCTCCCGGGTGCTAAGACAAGCTGTGTCTCTCCACTTCCCGTTACACAATGTTATCTCCTCTAATCAACGGCGCATCAATCAAAGGCACTTAATCCTATCAGGATGGCTTTGGGACTACCTGGAAACTCCTTTTTCTGCTGCTTTGGAGGGAAAGCGAGGAGCTGTTGTGATCACTGGAGCCAAAACGGTGCAAAAACATTTACTGAAGCAACCCCCCGAGTGATATAGTTTAAATGATTTAAAACTCCTTCTTGTGGACATCATTACACGGATGGTTCTTCTACTAGTTCTGTCTCCAGTGATGATAAAAAAAAAAAAACATTCCCTTGCTTCTCCTTCAAGGATCCTCTTCTGAGACACAAATTGATGCACTTTCTACTTAAACCATCACCTGTAGTTCCGACATTAGAAAATCTATCATTTGACGTATGAAATGACCTCTACTGTATGTATGTGTCATGAGATGTAATATGTGTAAGCAAATAAAGGAATTTATTGAGGTGCAAGAATAGTGACAATCACTTCTTCTCAATTTATAAACGCAGACAGCTAACTAAAGGGACACTTTTCCTTTTATTCACACTTGACTCGTGCGCATATAGGTTAGACAGAGACGGAGAGTGAACTTAAGAAACCTTGAGCTTAGCAGCGACAGCGCTCGTTCTTAGACATATATCGTGCAGAGATCTTATAGGCTCCAAAGCTGGATGAGCCTCTTGGGAAAGAGGATCAGTGGATTGCCTCTGATCCCTGCCCTGATACTGTGTCTGGCTATGTTCAACCTCCTGTGTCCTGCAAACTGCAGATTCTGCATGCAGAAAAGAGCAGACAGCATGCTATTTGGTTACCATTTTAAAAGGTGTGGGATTAAGGTAAATGATGTATCTTTGAAAGGAGAAAAATGTGGCAGCTTTACACTTTACTGTGTGTTGTTGAGTGTGGGACTCTGCTGAGGCTTCCCCTGACAAAATTGAATATTTGGCTAGGGAACACAGAGAACAAGCCCTATAATCTATCATTTGGGGGACACATCCGCTTGTCAAACTCTGCATCAACATGACCTTTCTTTCCCCCGATAATTGGGGGTCAGTGGTAAAAGGAGCCCTTCAATCCATCTCCACAAGGCTCCCAAAAAATATGACTGGTCAAACTTAAAAGCCCCCTCATTCAAAAATATGTGATGTTTACGTCTTCAAATATGTAGCAAGGAAAGCTTAAATTGTTTTTCTTTGCATTTAAAAATGAGTCCCAGGATGTTAGCAAGGGCTTAAAGTGTACCCAGGCGTGAAGGCAAGAATTTTTAGCCATGAAAACAGATGTTAAAAACAAAACTGATTAACTGTAAATGCATCCAGGAGTTTAGGTACATCCAGGGGGGCAAATAATGTCCCACTGCCACTACAAAAACAACAACAAACAGTTATTACTGTGTTCCAATTACTCCACTTCACCACCTGTTAGCTAACTTTCCCATCAGTCGAACGGTAAATGTCTTCTACCGAGAAAGCTGGGATGAAAGTTAAAGTGAGACAAACGGAGCAGTAAGAGGTAAAGTAATTGTCTTTATTTAAGCCAAGGTCTATAATCTCTTAGCAACCTCACGCAGTTTCCTGTTTCAAGAGTTGAAGTCAAGGCAGTGCTTCAATTTGCCCTTGGCAGGCGGGAAATCTTTAGCTAATCCTGGTTCCCTTTTTCAGAGCTGAGTGCTAGACTCTTGTATTGTTACCGCAGCTGCTACAATGCATTTTCACTTACACAGCAATGAGTAGCAGTCAAAAAAAGGTGGCAACATCTAAAGTAAAGATTCATATAATAAAATATAACTTAAAGTTAAGATAATTCTTATATAATAAACAGAACAAGTGGTCTATAAATATGCTAATTAAGCTAAATGCTCCTCATGTCAGTATGCTAATGTGTAAACAAAATTGCTAAAAGATGTTTTCTTTTAAGCTTAATTTCACAGGAAAACTTAGAAAAAATAAAATAGCTTATAAAATAGATTCAGCAATACAAGAAAAACATGAACAAACGAGCAGAAGGTTAGCACAGACATTAACAGCCTTGACAGCATTTTTATGTAAGTAGAGCAATTTTTTTTTTTTCATGGTTTGCTCAACCTCCTTCAAGAAAACAAAATAAGGTATTTTACTGCTTTTTTGGTGAATGACAGTAACATAATAGAGGTCAGGTGTTTTGTTAACAATGTTAAAATTAGCATCTATGTTAGCATCTAAAATTAGCTAGGGCTGGGCTGGAATGTAACAAATTTAGGTTTTTTGGAAAAAAATATTGAACCAACGGAAATAAAAATGTTCCTGTGTATACTCCTGTTGGCTCTGAGGAAAGGAGAGCTTTTTCTAAAGTTAATCCAACTCATCCAATCAAAAATGTATGAAGACTTTTCAGTCAAGTTGTGGACCAAAGCACAGTCAGACACTGCCATCTCTAGTTTCTGCTCCAGTGACAAAACCTTTTTTTTAAATGATGTTCTGCCATGATGGTGTTTGAATTGAAACAGAGATGCTGATAGTATTGTGAAGACTCTGACAGATACAAGGTAAACATTTGGTTTATTTCTGTAGACGTAATAACACATGCAATCAAACAGAACATCTTGTAATGTCAGTGAGGCTCCGACAGAAGTGTATTCACAGCAGGACGTCCGCTGATACCAGCAAAGTCAAAGAAACATGTCTTCAAAGTAGTCGTCAAATTCCTCTTCCCTAGACAGATTCAACAAACAAAATCATGGAAAAAGTTACCTTTCTGTCATGCACCACACAGACTGTTAAATGTTTTGCCTGAGTGGCCCCTGACTAGCTGGCACTGTTAGAAATGTGCTATTTATAGAACTGTTTTTTATTTTAAACTCTACGGAATTAAAAAAAAACAAGGAATACAAAACAGACATAATTTAAATGAAGGCAAACATGGTGCAGAAAGACACAAAATGTACCAACATCCTGACAAATTAGTAGGCTGGCATAAAGGTGTTCTTCAGCATGATTATCCTAACGTAATCGTAGAGACATAACATCTTATTCAAAAGCACAACCACCATATAACCTAACGTCAGGGTACATGTACTTTTTTTAACACTGCACTAATACTCATAGCCTTCCCAGCGTTGATCTATCTAACAACAGAAATCCCATATCAGGAGATGCATGGCAGGAGCAAGTAAAAGGTTTAGCAGCTTCCTGACAGATCAGAAAAGCTTTGTGCATGATATCTGAGAGGTCTACATACTGTGTGCTATATAGAGGTAAGTTTCTTATAAGGACCTAAGTGGTAAAGGTTGTCTCTGATGGTTTTACAGCAACTTACAGAGTCTGGTATAATATGAACATTAGCTGTTAAGCTCACCTTGACTTTTCGTCCACTGCAGGGGCGGGTCCTCGCCAGTGGTCGGCTTCTGATTGGCCTTCTCGCTCATCTCCAGCTTCAGAGTCTAGATTGGAGAGTTTCAGAAAGCTGTCAGTCAGGCTTCCAGAAAGGGAAACTGGGTCGACCAAATAACCTCTTTTCATCAGTTGCAAGGTCAGGGTTGTCGGATTGGTGTGACTTTTTGCTCAGAGAATAAAGGTGGGGTAGGCGATCTGATATAATATCCTCTTTCAGTACAGCAATTATCTCTTCACAGTCAACTAGCTATTCATGTGTGTAATGCGGGAAAAAATTTTGGCCTTGAAGTGTCCAGGATTTTACTGACAATATATGTACAATATAAAAAAAAACCTTTCCAAGAATCAACAATTCTACCTTTCAGAATAGATACTATCTATTGGTCTATATCTGACCAATCAGCTAATTTTCTTTTCTGCTGGAAATAAAAGCCTGTAAATAAATGGCCTTATATTTCTTTTAAAGGAATATCAAGTTGCAACTTACCAATAGCCTAATTTAGATCATGGATTAATTAGGCTTTTTATATTTATTGTCATAAATAACCTGGAACCATAAATACCAATGAGCCAAAGAGCTTTTGGTTCACGGTGGGCCAGTTAGCTTGTGCTAATTCGGTGTACTGTAATGTCTTAGGTAAGCTGTATAAAGTGCAAGTCAGTATCAACTAAGACGGGTCAATCATTACTATCTATAGATGTGGCTCTATAATTTGTAGTCTTTATAGGACCAGTAGACTATTTTTGTAAGCCTGAGAGGGATCAGACCAAATCACATTGTACAAAACAACCCCTCTGTATGTAGTCCAACTAAAAAGTTCTCCTTATTTTCCGGAATACAAAGTGCTTCTATGACTTTAAAGTCCTCAACTATCCCTGAACGCGTCACTCAAATATTGCATGATTTTTTTTTTGGATTCCTAGGTTAAATCCAGTTCAGCCTTCAACTGCTGTTTGTCTAAGTCAATACAAGAAAATAAGTGAGTGTTTGGGTATGGATTACAATTCATGTTGAACTCAGTGACAAAACCTCTAGACAGAGAAGAATTGTTTTTGTGAACTAGTCCACCCATACAGCCATCCATCCATCCAGACCCTGGAACAGAGGGTCAAATATGTTCTTCTTTTCATGCTCCTCACAGTGAAGGGTAAAAAGAAAAGATGAAACAAGAAAGTCAAGAGAAGTGGGGTGAAAGATGGTTGATAAAGAACAGACCTGCAATCTGTCTATCAATATTAACTACAGGGCTCAAGGAGGGTTTTCCAGAAAGGTCTGTCAGAGTGTTTTCACTCCAGAATTTAAGAGGAGTGTCACGCCCCGAAGGTCAGGGGGAATAGATCATGAACTCTCCAATGTATGTGTGTGTGTGTGTGTGTGTGTGTGTGTGTGTGTGTGTGTGTGTGTGTGTGTGTGTGTGTGTGTGTGTGTGTGTGTGTGTGTGTGTGTGTGTGTGTGTGTGTGTGTGTGTGTGTAGGAGTTATGAAGGCTACCTTTGTCTGAGTCCTGGGACTCCTCTGAGCTGCTGGAAGAGGTGGGGCGATCTGTAGGCGAACAAGGAGAGAAGGCTATAAATAATGTGAGAGTTGTTACAAAAAATTATATCAAAACAAAAGAATAACATGAAATAATTTCTTAAAACAAAACCAAAAGCTTCAACAGTCTCTTTCTATCTGTTGACATCATCTAATTAATTAAGGAGTCCTACCTCGGTGCCTCTTGTGTTTGTGCTTCTTTGAGTGTGAAGAGGACCGCTTCGTCTTCTTTTTCTTCTTCTTCTGTGGCGGCTCCTGATTCTCAGATAACCTTTTAGTGATTTTCTTTGCTTTTACCTCCTTTCTCCTGCAAACAGAATCACACTACTAGGAAATGTATTCACACTATAAAGCAGCCAATTACAGCACTATTTTGGAGACAATCTAAAATCCTTGGGGACCAATGGCACTTTCAGAGGTGCCATTGGCACATTCATGAATAAATCATTGCAATTTTGCCAGAGCTTAAATGAATGAAGGCTTTCTTGTTACAAAGTCTGCTAGGGACTATTCAAATGTAACTTACTGTAAAAAGCCAAGGTGTCACATTTGTGATGTCACGTTTTTATTTGTATATTTGTATTTGTATATTTATAAATGTATGCATATTTATACATATCATTTCAATATGTATAAATCTTTTTGAGACAATTCTATCTCCATCGATAACTCAAACTTTGCTTTCACAGTCAGATGTGTAAATCTTCCATTTGCAAAAATTATGAATGTGAAAAGTAGTCATGACACTCAAAAGAGCGTGAGGGAAAGTCAGCTGATGTTTAAAAAGACAGGTTGAATCATAACAAGCTGGAAAACAATCCTCGCTCATTGTCCAAGATGACCTGCCCTTCTCCTCACAGACCATTGCACAATCTTTGAAATCTTTAAAAAATACCTATCATGGGTTTAAAGATTGACATCATTTGTGAAAATATGTCAAATGGGTGAGAAGTTTAAGAGCTTACTTGTGGTGGTAGTTGAGTTTGAAAGAGCATTCAGGGCATATTCCTTTAAAAAAACAAAAAAACAATTAAAATAATTTAAGGATTATTAGGACTGGTACATACAGTTTAAATAAAATATGTTAAGAGTTTCAAAACACTTTGATAGTTTTCCCCTGAACTTTAATTTCAGCTTATTAACTTAAATGCCATTGGTTTCTCGCAAAGGTTGAAAAATGTGTTGTTTTTTCTTTACTTTAGGAATCAGACATGAGTCTTACAGCTACAGTTGCCACCTATTAGCAGTTCAATAGTAAATCAAAATTAATAGAATTTTTAATCAAAATGATTTTGCATTTAAAATAATTTTTGTTGGGATTTATTTATAATTTTTGTATCGTATTAAGATGGGTGTACTTAACTTCCTTTTTTGAATTCACACCTGCTTCTATTTTAATCGGACTTGAGCCCAGTTTTCAGTTCAAGTTGCCACCTAATTCCGTACACAAATGTCTGTGAACTTCAATAATTGTATACAGAAATTGAAGAGGACCCAGAACAGAACCCTGTGGAATTCCTATTAAGCTCTGTCAGATATATTTTTTTTTATATTACACACTAAGATTTGAAGCTCTGTTTATACATAAATGCATACATGTTTTAAGAATATATTCAATAATCTATCATAATAAATTAATTTACCTATTATACCTAGCAATAACATTTCTCCAAAATGCCTTACTAAGTCAATGATCTTGGGTCATCAGACTGTGTTTCTTTACTGTCAACAGATTTAGCAGTGTCTAAATGTTTGATTTAGAACTACAACAATTTAGAAAACATTTAAGTTGAGGAGGAACTACATGAATGGAAGCAACCTGTTGCTTGTTAAAAGAAACTTTCATTTCCTGCTTGACTGAGTTCATTGTGACTGGTAGTTGTCTATTTAACGTTATTATTTTAACAGGATTTTCTGCAGTATGATACCTGGAGGAGGATTATTATTATTATGAGCCTGGTCTTAGAGGGGAATCCCCACTAGGCCTAGGACAAAGCCGCACACACACATGCATGCACCCGCACAAACACACACACACACACACACACACACACATGCACACACACACACGCACACATGCACACACACACACGCGCACACACACACACACACACACACAAACATTTATTACAGAATAAGCGAAAAAATCAATGAGCATTTACTTAGTTTGACCAATGCATTTCTCTTCTCACTGTGTTCCACGTAGGCAAAATTCACCTCCCAGCTTTTTAGGCCTTCCTGCTTCTCACAACGTTTGTTTCCACACTGGAACTGACCTGGAGGACCAGAAAGTATATTTACTGTATAATAATACAATAATATTAAAGAGACATTTAATATATCCATGTCTTAATTATTGCAATTCAAAACATGAAAACACTTACAGAAATAGGATATTTGTTGATAATTAATGAGGTAAAGTTTAAGCAAGCCACAGAGCCTTGACAGTGTATGAACACATACTCTAATTATGAGGAATAAAAAATAAACACAACACAAATAGAACGGAATGGTAAAAAGAGAAATGTTTTGTTTCAGCATAAAGAGAGGCAGACAAGTCTCCTGAGAGTACAGATTGTGTCAGGCATCCTCCAATTCCTGCCCCCCCCCATTTCTACACCCCTTTCTCCTTATCCCCCTGCCCCTTCTCATCTCCCTTTCTGCAGCTCTTCCTCATCCCCCTCAGGCTTCCCTCCAGCCGCTGCACAGCCTGCCTATTATCCCCAGAGGAGCTTAGGGTGGCATTGATCTGGTCTCCAAGGTTCCTCCAGATTGTAGCAATGGGAGCGTGTGCGTCAGAGCAGTCCATTCTTGGCAAACGGGCGAGGAATACTCCTTACTCTGTGAGAAGGAAAGTGATGTCTGCCCTCATCTGCCAAAGCTTGAGACTCTGTAAACGTTCAGGTGAGGTGACGCTGGCTGTCATTGCTTGGGGCCACTTGGGCTGTGGGGCAATTTATCCTCACGTGCTGTATAAGATTAGTGAGCTATGACGTAAGCTTAAAAAGACACTTCTGGCTCCAGTTACCGGAAAGTGGTCTGGCTTTATTTAGGATGGCTTGAGATTATATTCGACCAAATTGAAGACAATATCAAAGCATGAATTCGGAGTTGAGATTAAATAGACTGTCTATGAGCAGGGACGCTTTAGAGCCAAAGATTGAGGTGGGACCGGGTGGGACTGATTAAGTTTTCCATCATTTTTTGTTTATTTTCCATTCCATCATTACCAGTGACGATGCACGCCATAAACCATTATACTTTTATAACTACTATTATACTTGAAATCACTTTGATCAACCATGAGGGCTCAGGGAATAACGTACGATCACAACTCTCAAAATAATTTGTGTAAGGTTATAATTCTCTTACTTTGAAGTATATATATAGAAAACCCAACCCATTTGTTGAATTGGAGATTTACACTTTGAGGTTGTTCTTTTTTCTTTTTTTTTTGCAATGGGGTATTTATTCTGTCAAATCTGAACAAATTACAGTCAGGTCTGCAGCTTTAACCAATGTTGTCCACCGATTTCATACAAGAAAAATGATTAGATGTAGCTATTGTTAGGTTTGTGCGTCTTTTTTTTGCCAGAAATGAGCATATAAAGAGGGAAGGCAGCTTAAATCATAGTTCACGCTACCTCTCTATGTGCAAAGATTGAATCTTTGTCATCAATCTTATTCTCACTGACGTTTGAATATAAGAACAGCCATGTGGAATTACCAAATTAATGTTATTAAATGTGACCTGATGATTGCAAGAGGAACAGTCATTGGATCATCTCATCTATTACAACAAATTTGTTGTTGTTCAGACATTCCAATTTAGAATCAGGTCTATTGATGAGTAAGGCAACACATACAAAGAATTGGCCATGGTGGTATTGGTTCAAAGGGAAACATGTAAAATAGGAATACAAAATGGAGTAGTCCTATAGTCAAGAAACATACCAGTAAAATATTAATATATAAGCTAGTCATATAAAATGATGTCTTTGTTGTATAAAGGATCTGTAAGGTTTAGTTAATAACCAACAATGCAGTACCTAAATCCACAATGAGCGAGGCGGAATATTGTAATCAAATTAAAACGGTTGCATTAACTAAAAGAAGCTACTAATTGGTTACCTATAATTGTATTGTCTTAAATTTAAAATAGTTCTAGGTGAAAATTAACTTAGAAGCAAGCCTGTCCCTTTAAATCAACAATGACTCATACTTTTGTGACACTATGTGGGTGTGACTGTCGACGGGGGCCATCCTATCAACTCTTTGCCAACGTTCCACCATGAGGACTGACAGGTGCCAGGAGACCTGAGAGACTCCAGACTCTTCTTTACCATCATCGGTGACGTCAATTACAATCGTGCTGGAATTCTTCCATGACATCGTACTCTCTCCGTTACACACACACACACACACACACACATACACACATACACACACAGACACACACACACACACACACACACACACACACACAGACACACAACAATCAAATACATCTTCCTTTTGAACACACTCCAGCTTTGATCTGCTAAGAATGAAGAATGAAGTTAAGAGCCTGCGCTTTTTTCCAAACAAAGCTGAGAGCCCTTGAATAAAGTACTGAATCCCCTTGCTGCTGCAGGGAAGCTGTTCATTGTTGAATGTAAAAGAATTTAATATAACAGAAGGTTAAACATGGTGAGTTTCAATGAGCTATACCCTCCAGCTACATAAATCTCTTTCTGGAAAACTTTTATTTTAACATAATTTTTTTTTTAAAAAGAAGAAAAGAACGAAAGTCAAGGCTAGGAAACAATTATTAACTTTTTTCTTATAGTTTTCCCCCTACTGGTCACTCATTTACCCAAATTAAAGAATATAAGCACAACTGTATTCACCGTGGCAATGAACAGACGGCAGATTTTCATTATGCTGCAACACGGGGCATCCCTTCTTACCAGCTTTACACAAAAGCTCCTGTGTGGGTTGCTGTTAAAACCCTTTGGAATAAAAAAAAAAAAGGAAAAAAAAAAAAGAGGATCAACGTGTTTTGTTGATAAGTAGTGGGTATCCTCACACATCATGTGAGCCTCACATACGCCATTAAAAGAACTAGCATCAGGCTGGCTGACTAAACCCATTAAGAGAGGGAACTCCTGTCCTCCTACGTCAATGGTCACTAATGCCACCAGCCAGTGGCCTGAGATCAGGATGGAAACACAACAGGACAGATGGCTGCATGATTAACATTCACTAGATGAAGTCACAGGGTAGTGACAGACTGAACCGGTGCCTTTTCACTTTTGATTCTCTCTTGGGTAGTTGGGAAAAGTTGTCTGAGGACGTGTTAAGCTAGGCTGGTTTTTCACAGAGTAAGAATGTCAGGTATAAAGTTAAATTAGCAACTCACTTTATTATGATGCACCAGTTTGCTGTGTGTTTACTCTTAATTCACTCAACCTTACATGACCTTTGACTCACTTGGTTGATCTCATGCTTAAAAGGAGATGAGAAGATTAATACTGATGGCCAGTCAGTAAATACTATTTGTTTACCTAGCTTAGCTTACTTAGCTTAGTATGAAGTTCTTGGGACTGAGGGAAACAATGACACCTTTCAAAAGGTAACAAAATGGAAAAATGATAAACAGGGGGAAAACTTGTGAATGACTGTCATTGTTGCTACAGTAAAGTGTTAAAAACAGCAGAGCGCTCCCGTTTAATAGAACATCTTTGGTCCTGTGCTCGCAGCCTATCACAAGCTTGTTTTTGTGGATGGACAAAAAGGCTTTCGCGCACCACACTGCTGTGATGGGCTTGCATGTCTGGCAAGCCCTGCGGTTATGTTGTGCGCCACATGTACAGAGGCTATCGTCCTCGAGGCAGCGGCTTGTGTGTTCGAATCCTGACTTCCTGCCCCCTCTGCATGTCGTCCCCTGCTTTCACCTCCCAGCATTTCACTGTCTCTCTTTAGCTGTCCTATCCAATAAAGGCAAAACGGCCCCAAAAAAGAAGGTAACAAAACAGACTGCCAAATAAGGTTAGGGACTATTTAATGGGCAGTTACAGTCTCTTCTCTGGAGTTTTGTCCTCATCAAAAGCCTTTATGCAACTCAAGGCAATCACTGCGTGTGCAAGGCCAAACAATTGTGCGGTGCAAAACCCTCTAAAAACCACACATTGATGTTGCTACATTTGTTCTTTTTTATTAACTGATTTAACAAACATGACATGACGTGTAACTCAGCAAGCTTAACAAGCGCTCACAGTTGGGTTTCGTATTTTCACCAAAGGCCAGACTTGCTCTTTGTTCATATTCCAGTGGTTGTGACGATGTAATCTAACCAGCTGCTGTCATAGCGGCATTACAGACATGAGTGTGGTATCAGTCTTGTCATCTAACTCTCAGCAAGAAAGCAAAAAACGTATCAAACTTCCCGAAAGGCAAAGCTTTTGCTTCAAAGTCAAAGATTTTCAGAACAGATGCTGTTGCAAATCTACACTAATTTCCATCATGACTAAGCATAATAAACTGTCATAATCCTACAGATTCAACTTGATTTTCCTCCCTCGAAGGGCAATTTGCTTTGCAGCAAGGCGTTAACAGGACAGAGAAAGACAAGAGACACAATACACACGTAGAAAGCTAATGAGGTAAAAAGAAAGAGGCTATGATGCACTGAATACAGCGGCCATGATCTTTGACTGTGGCTCTCAGCAGCTTCCATTGCAGAAAAAAATAAAGTGCCAAGTCAAGAATATAAACAGGACACTATTTGTTAAGTACTCATCACTAGTAATAAAAACCACAAGTGCACATTAAACAGTGAAATACATACTGTACAAAACTACAATAATATCAGCCTACATACATGAGAGAGAGAGCGAGACAGAGAGAGAGCGAGTGAGAGGGAGAGAGTGACTGCTAACTATGTTTCCAACATAAACTGAAAAAGTCAAAAAACACACACACATCACTTGATTAGGTGCTTAATTGAAAAAAATACTTATGATACAAACAAAAACTCGCAACACTATGGCTCCCGGATATAAACTTGTTTATTTGCTATATGTGCATTAAAGGAACACAATGTTTTCGAGCTGACCGGGCTCTTCCTCAGGCTTTGTTTTTCCAATACAAAGTGACCAAAGTGACACAGCCGAGTTCAGATACAAACTGAAACACAACAATAGCATCAGCATCAGGTACCAACAGCAGAACCAACACAACTATCCCCCCCCCCTGAAATGAATTAAGGAGGTTAATGGCATTGGGGACAAAAGAGTGCCAGTATCTATTGGTTTCTACTGAGAGACATCTGAACCGAGTACCAGAAGGAAGCAACTGAAACTCATAATGAAGGGGGTGAGCACTGACTGACAGGATGGATTTTGCCTTTTGCTGAGCATGTTTACATGTTTCCCAAATGAACAGATATTGAAGTGCAGACATGATTGAGAAGTCTGCCTGTATTCAAGTGCAATAGTTATTGAGCTTGTGAAGCCAGAGTTGGCTGGAAAACAGAACCACCTCCCTCTACCTCCCCCTCTCCTCGGGGTCAACCACCTTTAATAAATTCTCAGCCTGTGGGAAACACTGCACGGTCCACGCTCACTGCCCCCTCAGGCAGATTTTTCAAATATTGGGAATGTAACTGGCCTCTGAATGAATGATTCTTTTTTTTCCACACACACACTCCCACCTCTGACTCTGGATCAGATTTAGCCTTTTTTTTTTTTTTTTTTTTTTTTTGTCTTTAATATTGATGAGTAGTCCCAGACGGATGACCTGAAGTTGAACGGTGTATTTTGCAACTTTGATTTACTCCACAGCACCCTGTAGTCGACCAAAGAGCAGCACATACCGCTGAGTGTTGTTTATACCATAGGTAAACAAAGACCTGCATTAAGGCTGCCTAAAGAGAGAGGGAGATTTAGACAATCCGCAGACTACTGAGAATTACTTTCATTACTTAAGATGTACGCAACACACTTTAAAAAGTCAAATAAACACCTTCAAAACATCAAAAGACAGAGACACTGGCAGTCTCTATTCTTAGACTAAGTAACTCTGAAAGCTTAGTGGCCCGGGGGGGTTAATGAGCTATCACTTTTAACGGTTACAAATACCTTTTCAGAGGCTGATTTATTTCTCAGCAGGATATCTTTACAAAGTGAAAATCCAGTTTATGTTCGAACCAAGGCCGGACTAAAGCAGACGTACCTTTAAATCATCATTTGTTACAAGTTGATGATTCTAATTTGACAGGTAACAGAGCAACCGTTGCGTAGGAACCTTAGATAAAAGTCAAAGGGAGTTGTGTTAAAAAAAAAAAAAAAACATGAAGAATGAAAAAAAAATAACCCCAAGAAAATCTACTGTTAGCAGTCGATAACTTCACACTTGAGTGTCACAGTGCAGGCTTGAAGTGGCCTCGCACTCCAGCTAACAGTGTGAGTTAAAGAAAGGTGGCAGAGGTGGGTCACACCTGATTCCTACACTGTAAGTGAGAGCGAGCATGTTGAGGCCATTTTTTTATTATTTTTTTAAACGCAGGGAAGTTTCATAAGGCGAGACAGCACTCCATTTACTTTGACAGGAGGCCCACCAAAAATAAGCCTGGACTCAGCTACCTTTGTCCTCTAACCTCCCTCCTGACAGCAAAACTAAAGCTGAATTTATACCAGAAGGGAAACCTGCAGAAAATAACAGGAGCTGGAATGAAGTGCCAGCATGTCTCAACACCCCACTTGTCTATCAACCCCTGCATTTAGAGGCCTTTAAGACACATTTTCATACCCAACACTCTGAATTAAGTACAGATTTTCAAAATATGCCTTGTACTGTACATTGAAATTTGATTGGCCTAATGTGCTGATTTATAATTTTAAGGACAGCACAAAACAGAAGTTACATAGACCTCGGGCACATGACTTAAAGGTACTATGAATGGTTTTTGTCCACTAGTGGTGCTATTGAGCATCGTGTTGACGAGCTAGTAGAAAAAATGGATAAAGGATAGGATTCACAGGTTTTAAATTTGTGCTTTCTGATAACAAAATATGTTTCTCTAACTTTAAGTGTGGCCTCTGGATTTCTACTCTTCATTGTAGACAACCTGAAACATAATAGTTCGACATTATACCAGAACAAGATGAATGTAGCATGTGTGTGGATATGGTCAATGGGAAAAGTATTCATCAGTTCAAGGATGCTTTTTGAAAAGGGGGAGTGGGCATGAAACATTTAGAGAAAGATCCTTTTATTACGTATGCAAGAACATGACCTTTCCCATATCTTCCGCCTCCATTTTTTTTTTTTTTTACACACACAAAAAAGAGAGAACGGCCTATCCTCTTGACCTCAAGTCACATCAAAGCCTTTAAAAATGAAGGTCAGTGCTCCTCTTAATCCCCCTGATTGGTTGAGGACTAGTCAGCATTACCTAACACCAACATGACCTGAAGTGCACAGATAGTAAGAGATGATCAGGGCAGCATTTCCCAAAACTGTGTCAGTGTCAGATCGGAAGAGGCGTGCCCTTTGAAAGCAGATGGATCAGTTTCACGAGGAAACTGTTCAGTCGCTTCTAAATTATGCAAAGGAAGAAGTCGAGCTTTGTCATCTTTGAAACCTGAACATCTAATCCAGTTGTAACTATACGAACAATACACACGTTTTCTTCTTTTCTCATTCTTAAACAGGACTTTTTATTCGCCTTCAAAGTCATGATGAGCCCGTGACGAACTCGTCTTCCACTTTTAACTTGCAACACAAACACTCTTAACGTTCAATTTGCCCTCGTGTGTTTCCTTGACCTCCGAGTGAGGACGTTGGAATTAGATGAGTATCGATTTTACCATCCCATGCTCTTAATAGTGCTGAAGAAGTATGTCTCTTCTTAATGTACACAAATCACAGGCGCGACAGTCCAAGTGAAGTGCCTCTGACCTAATCTAATCCACTTCCTGTTGAGTTTTGCTACAGGGGTGAACTGTCACAGACCAAGATTACAGAGTCTTAATCTGGAACAATATATTGGCTTAGTCAGCTTTCTCAGACATACTGTGTATATTTGTGAGGGTGAATTGATCTAAACGGGTGTGTGTATTAGAGTGTGTTTGTGTGTCTGTGTGTGTGTGTGTGTGTGTGTGTGTGTGTGTGTGTGTGTGTGTGTGTATGTGAGAGAGTGTTTGTGTGTCCATGTAGGTCAAAGCATCTCAACGGGCTGTCATGGCAGGTTTACTCTCACAGAGTTGCTGATCACGTCCTTCCAGGTAAACCTATAAATATCTGTCAGTGTCGCATGAAGGAGCCGTGTCGCGCTAATCCCCAACAATTAATAGACCATGATCATGGGAGCGCTGCCAGACGTACAGAGTGGGCTCCATCGCAAGTGCAAAGATAGACCGAAGGACGTTCGTGGACGCGAGATGTAAACAAAAGCAAAAAGATAAGCATGAAGGAGAATTTGTGCGAATCTAGAGATCAAGTGTGAAAAAGGACCTCAGAGGTGAAGAAGTGGACGAAAAGATTTGAAGGGGCAAATATATTTAAGGCTTATGATGCTGATCTGAGACAATACCAATCAAAGTAAAGTTAGAGAAAGTTGTGTTCATCAATAGTCTAACATGAGGAGTGAAGTGTAAAGAAATTGTCCCAGTCATGTTTCTTTTGCAGTTTGAATTGTCGTTATCTCTGTCGCCATCTAGTGGAGAAATGTGTGAATGGTTTTGTGGGCACTATGGCAGAGGTGTCACAAATCTATGCTACATGCTTCTATGCCAAGTGTACATACTAATAACAATAGTTTATTGTTATAGCTGTTAGTATATAAAGAAAACAACATTCTCATCAGTTTTTTTGCTAACAGGAAGTAAGGCAACAAAACAGAATAAAACCACAAAGTCAATTTTATACAAAGCAAAAACACTTCTTTAGGATTGATTGCTGTTTTTTTTTATTTTCTAGAATCTTTCAGGAAGTGTTTTTAATATTACCTTCACCTTCCATATATTGACAGAGAAGCGTTTGCACCAGCAGCACCGAAAACCAACTGTATTTTTTTTTGCATTCTTTTTGCACTTTTGCTTACTTTATTTTGAAACTTTTCCAGTCTGAATTCAAACCACAAACCTGCAGAATGCTAGGATTTGCTTAGGGTTTTAGGGCACCTGGCTGGGCTAAGTAAACATCTTCATAAAGAAAAGACGATATGTCGCAAACAAGAATGTTTCCGCATTCTGGATCAGTTTCAAAGGTAAATCTTACATTATGTTATGATAAGCAGTAAAATAGAATATAACGTTGGTAAAAGGCCATACCTTTGCCCGAGACGACTTCATTCTCAGTCCGCCAACGGAATCCAAACTGTCGGGCAGAAATTCAACAAGATCCATTTCAATTAGCTGAATTGCTTACAATAAAAGTGCCAGACACGCGGCATAAATTACAATTTCTCTCTGAAATCAATCTTCCATATCTTAACTCAGTATCTGCTCCATCTCTGAATAGCCATTAGTTAGATATGCAGCTTTAAAGCATTGGTTAATCTGAACATGAATTCTCCTGTCATGCCTGCCTTCTTGTGAATGGATCTTTTCCATGCACATTACCACTGTTGTGTTGGTATAGTCTTCTGTGAATGCATACAGCGTCTCCAGCAGTTGGACTGAAGCACCAACGAGCAGTGATTGGGATGCAGTTGTTAGTATTCTGCCCATGCCGTCGCACAGCTCTCACAGCACTCGCTCTGTCTGTGCAGGCATCTGCACGCTGTCACACCTCATTTACCCAACACAGCTGATCGAAATTTGACTAAACTTGTGGGAATGATGCAACTCAGCGCTGCATTTGCAGTCATTAACAGCTATGAATAATTTGTGACGTAATCAGAGTTTATGCGGCATGTTTTGAGCCAACTGGACTAAAGGCTAAAGAGCAAGATTATAAACTATGAACATTTTAATTATGACTCCATCATTATATCCTTTTTTATGTACGTATATCGGCTGTTTGTCAACTTGACAACTAAGTTATCAAACATAGAAAATGAATCCCTTACAGCATCATTACACATACCAGGGCAGCTACAGAGCCATCGCCCTTGGGTTCCACATATTGTCCGTTTTAAAGCCTGGCTTCAAACCAAAGTCCACAGTCACTAGAGACTGAGCACAGTGCCAAAACACATCATACCCCTCACATTCATCTAAAGTGGACCACTGCTGGTGGAGATAAGTGTCTGACTTATAAAATATTAACCTTGACTCATGGAAGCACCGCCGGGAAAATAAGTTTCATTGCAAAATGGATCGTGATGTATTCGATGGCTTCCATGAACACTGTGTTATTTTCTTTGTGTGGTTTGCCTTCAGAAAACAGATTATAACATCCTTCCAATTCCTGTCTGAATCTGGCCTCCTCTTTCAGCATTTTCACTGATTTTACAACTTGAGCTACTTGATTCTAAATAGTTACTAATCACCAGCTGACACGAGCCACCTGTTACTGCACACACTTTCAGAAGTTTGACATTTGCTGAACGCCTACTGCTGCTACCTACTGACACTCGTCCCACCTTGTTTTCCTTGTATCTGCTGAGGTCAGCAATGCAGTACTCCTTAAACAGCTTGTCGTAATACTTCTTGGCAAGTTCTTTTTCCCTGGAACAGAATAAGGCCGAAAGCGTGAGGCAGAAGAAGGCACCAACAAATCTGAAACAAGCTGCTTTTTGTCACCAGGTACTGGATACTTGTGGATTCTCGGTTCAAACGGACTTCCTTTAGAGGAAAATATTGTGAAAGAGTAGCACAGCTAATAACAAGTGCCCTGAATGAAACAGAAGCCCTCATGAGCGGCTGACTGCGTGGTTACCATGTCATGTCATCCTCGTCCTCATCCCTCCAGAGGAAGCGATGATTCTCTCGCAGCACATCCACGTCTGTTTTGTCATTGGCTCTGACGGACAGACGACATGAAATAAGAATAATCACAAATGCATAGCAGAGAAGAAAGTCTCCTTAAATACTTTGTATTTACGATTGTAATTCAACGAGTGGAGACCACAAGTCTGATGTGCTAAACACAGCAGGCTCCCTTTCAGGCCAGAGAGACAGCAGATGCCTGACGGTCAAGCTTGAATGTGCTACACAATACTTACCTCGAGCGTTTCAAGTCGGCCATCTGTCCTCCATAATAAAGTATGTAGTCCCCCACAAACTTCTTATGGCGCTCAAACTGCAGACTTCTGTTCAGGGTCAGCTCTCTTTTCAAGTGGTCACAAAAATGATTTCTCACAATGCTTAGTTTTAATGCATTTACACAGAGATCCCTTCAACGTGTCGCCCTTTATCTATGGCTCATTCTTCTCAATGTGTATATGTAAGTCTTAACAAATCAAGATCAACTTAAGAAGGATACAGCATTCATTGATATCAGGTGGGCTCTTCTGTTCCTGGCTTCCTCTCTGGGAAAAAAAGAAAACAGAAAAACAGAGTGAGAATGGTTCTCCATCATCCAATCTCAGAATCCATTGGCTAATGCCTGACATCGATATATATCCTCTGGGAGTCATGCTCAAATTTTAGTGCTTCCCGTGTAGCCAGCAGTTAGGGATAAAGGATTTACGGCCAATACTTTCTTTTCCGTGCTCTGCCTCCGTTTTAAAGTCTGATAGGCAACTCGAGAAGCAAGAACTGAGGCACAACATCCAAGAGTTAGAGAGCATTGTTCACTGAACGTTGCATGCTTGTATCTGTTTAGAGAAACTACCCGTTGTTAGATGAACGCCAAAGTTCTATAGGATTGCTTTAATGTGAAATACGCTCTGCCTCCTTTTAGCTCTCCGCATGGAGTGTTTTGCTGCATGCAGTCAGAAGTCGTCAGAAGCGTGAGCAGGCAATTCTACTTGGACTGCAATACAAAACTACAGCACTTCTGATACCTGATAATCCTGTCCCATGCTAACGGATTCTGCATTTTTACGCAGGATATTTACATAGAGATTACACTGAACATAGTTTTGTCACTACAGAAAATTGTGTCTAACATTGTAACCCTTAAAAAAAAAGGGTATTATGTGTAAGATATCTGGCATTACTGTACTGTGAGCATGATGTGTGACTAGAAGAATTAAGCCCCGTTCATTTCTGTTTTGAATATCCTGCTCCACTTTTAACAAACTTTTAACAAAAGGAGCTTAATACAAGAACAATGGAGGTCACAGAAAACCGTCCTTACTCAAAGATTTATGGTCTCATTTGGTTTTATTGGAAGCTTGAATTCATAAAGCACAAATCTTCCCTGGGAGCTACTGCAAGAGCATTGGGGGAAATAATTAAAGTTTCTGAGTTGTGATAAGTTTTTAAAACAAGAAAGTTAAAATTAGATACCTCTCACTTTAATTGCGTCATGCATCAAAGGCACATAAACTGCAAATGAAAGTTTGTGATATAATGATGTCATTAACTACTGATTGCAGTTGTTATATATTATCAGCGATGACTTTAATTGCAGCACGAACAGGTGAAATGCGTGAGACTAAAAAAAGAATGACGCGAGCAGGGAAAGATGGACGCCGTGGTGGACGTATACAGCATATTTCTTTGTACCTGTCGAGTTCATTGGAGTGTAAACTTCGGTGAGCCACCTTTGAGTGCCGGCCTTTCTGGAAAGGCTTCTGTAGGATTTCCTCCTCACGTTTCCTGTCATAGGTACAAATACAGAGAGAAAGCTTAGCAAGTTGATGAATCCATCAAAACTATCTTAAAGTGAACTACTATAGACTTAGATAAAACTGGCAGGGTAGGAACTTGTGTATATTTAGAAGACTTAAGTGTTATAACACACACATATATATATACCCAATAATTCCCTTTTTTTAGTCTACATCTGTAAATTTTGTAATTACTGTACATAGCACAGATTCTTGCACTTTCTGCTTATTTGCACTTCTGGTGAGATGCCAAACCTCATTTCGTTACTCTATACTTGTATATGTGTAATGACAATAAAGTTGAATCTCATCTCATGTGTCTTTCTACACAGTTAAAGCCTTCATGCATTAAGTAAGCACTAGATGAGTGTAGATGTGCATAAAGATATGAACAGATCAATTTGTTGTTGAGCATTTGTAATCCTTTTTTTTCCTCACCTTTTAAGTCCTTTTTCTGAGGACTCTCCTGGCCCTTCATCATCACTGAAGTCAGAGTCATAGCCCCCCCCTCCGTGCACCTGGAGGAACACAAAACCCGCAGGTGAGGATCCCCACAAGATTCACTGAAACACTCAAACACAGCAGTGAGCAGACTGACATAGCAGAGCTGGTCCATAGACACACTGTAATGTACAGAAACATGTGTATTCATATAAACACGCCAGGTAAGTTAAAACTACACGACCTGAAGATACGAAACATTTCACTGTTGGTAATCAGAACGTCTGTGGGATTTATACCGAGATGATTTTGCTTCATTAAGTCTCTGCTCAAAGTGAAGTCAGACCAACAAAAGAAGTCAAGTAACGTAAGTGTGATGTAGAAATAACAGGCTAATGTTTCATGCCAGCTACACTACATATACCGCTGAAATAATCACCCAAATCTCCCGTTTATTCAAAGTAATCAATCGACTTAAAATGATACCTTCACGAGATTATCCATGACTTCTCCTCAATTTACTTCCCCAGCTGATGTTTACAAAATGAAAAAGAACGTCGCGGGGATGATGACGACACGCAACCACCATCGCGGGATAATGACGTTCACGCTGGCTTCATGAATTATTCGCCCGAGATGAAAATGAAAATAAAGTCTTTGTACCCTCCAAAATAAGAATCAACTTCAGGAGTCGTCAATGTATTGTTTTGGGCGATGTAAAAAAAAAAAAAATGTAGATTAATAAAGCTGTTTAAATTTTGGCTGTGATAGTCTTTTTTCTCTTTTGCATTTTAGGGTCTAGGTGGTCACCTTAAAGACCGAACTTTAGCACGCCTTCAATTTGTTTTTAAATCACTGCCTTCAAAAACAGACTTCACCATCAGCCAAAAAAAAAATAATAATAATAATTTAGGATTAAATGGATTACATTTTAGGGTGCATTTTTTTTCTAAATCGCATTATAAGATGGGATGCTCGGGGGCTTTTTAATTGTATATGCAAAACAAAGAGGGTGTTGTATTTGCAGTATTGATGTGGTTCTGGGAAAACTTCCTTTGGTTTTAGGGGGGTGGCAGCCAGGAGTGAAAGTTCACACAGTCTGGAAACAGAAGTGCAGTGTTTCGTGACTTTTCCACGACCCTGAAGTCAACACAAGCAGTAGCCTAAATGTGGGAAAGAAAGAAAGAAAGAAAGAAAGAAAGAAAAAAAGAAAGAAAGAAAGAAACACCAACGCTTTAAAGAGTAGGCTATGACTCATCCTTTGTTACTTTAAAAGAGTAAGAATTATTCACGAAATCCAGGTCTGTGTTTCTCCATTATCGACTATTTAGCCAATTTGCATTAAAACTGCGAGGAACAGGCCAATCTTTATAATGCTAAGTATTATTATGCAAATAAGTCGGCCTTTTAAAGATAACGTCCAGATAACCATTTTCTGAACGTCCTCCATTAGCAATCCAACATTTGCTAAAATACCACTGAATCAATGTGTCATGTTTATCTTAAACCCTGCTATATAAACCAGTCTTCTGTTCACACTTGATGCCATTGTTATGCCAAAGCAGGACAGAAAAGCCTCTGAATGAGTGAGGCAGGTGCACTATTTTGCACACAGCCTCATGAATAGCCGCTTTCCCATTAAGCATGCACGGCTCTGAAGCGCGCATAAATAATAGCTGGCAGTGCTGCTAAAAAAGCGCACCTTGGGGCCTCCCCCCCCCCCCCTCTCTCTCTCTGTCCTCTCTCTCTCTCCTCCGGCTCTCTCTTTCTTCCCCCTTTTTTTTTTTTTTGCCTCTCTCACGGGAATTCACGCTGCTATTGTTTTGGTTTCTTGCATGGTCGCAGAATTAAGACTACAGAACTCATTTATCGCGGAATAGACATTCTTTTCTTGTTTTAGAGATTTTTTTTTTTAAAAATGTTGTGGTATTTTATAGATATGTGACTGCTCTGTTTTTTTTTTTTTTTCCCATGTCCCGTCTGTCCCGCATTTGTAATCCTGCGCCTCGCTGAACGAATCCGCTGGACCCGTGCCGTCCTATTGAGACGCAAGAGGCATAGATACAAGCCTGCATCAGAGCACAACGCCACCAGCTTCCAAAATCCAAAACGAGACACTGACATATTAAGAATTTTTTTGCCGGAGGATCAGGCCGAGAAGTTGCATGTGCCGGAGTGTTGGTATTCTCGAGCGGGACAGCAGGTATGGGATACTCGGGCAGAGGATGTACGCTCCTGGTTTGGGTCGCTGCTGTCAGCCTGGTTCTGGCAGACGGGAGGAGAGTGAGGCAGCCCAGATGCCCCGTTGGATGTACCTGCACCAAAGATAACGCCCTGTGTGAGAACGTCCGATCTGTGCCTCACACTTTCCCATCGGATGTCGTTTCACTGTAAGTAGTTCTGCAGCCCACCAGACTCCCAATGGGGAATTACTTAACGCTGTTTTGTCTGAAAAGCTTTGAGTAAATACTCCATGTCCCAGTGTATCCAGGTGTCATCTTTGTTATTTGATCTTTTGTGTATATTTAGATCTTTTGTCAAGTCTGGATTTAATGAAATCACAGGAGGAAGCTTTGTTCACACGCCTGCCCTGCAACTACTGTGAGTATCTATCTATTTATCTATCTATCTATCTATATATCTATCTATCTATATAGATGCTCAGTGTTCAAACAATGAAGCACCCCCCCCACACACACACACACACACACACACACACACACACACACACACACACACCCCACCCCCCAGCAGACTTCTTTACCTAAAGTCTGATATGCAGATTTAAAGGGGTATTCTCTGTAATGGTGTCAGGATTATGCAATACACCACATGGCTACAGGACAATAACAGCAGAGGGTGTGTAGAAGCTGTGTGTGTGTGTGTGCATGTGCAGTCAAGATATGGAGAGGCAGAAACAAATAATGAAAATGTGCCCATTCCCCCCCCAAAGAAAGCACCTAGAAACAACAGAAACATCCTGGTTTAAAAAGAAAGATTACATAACACATCTATTTTTAAGCATCTTGTAGGACTGGAGTCTATTAAGCGATTTCTTGCGGTGAGGTAACTATTAACTGGGCTCTCTTTTGTTTTCCTGGCATCAGTTTTTCCACGTGCTTAGATGACATTAAATCAGTTTGAATGTTCATGGAGGCCCGTGTGCAGAAGAATGGGGAATTTAAACAGTAAAGGGAACGGGTATAGCATCACCTTCTTGCTCTCATTATTTACTGCCAAGGTGACCTGGAGTATCTTAACCCCTATTAGAGTACACGCTTAATCAATGCAGCTCCTCTGTGGCCAACAGAGAGGGTGTGCAGGGTCAGTGTCGCTTGATTGCTTGGCTAGAAAAAAAGCCTGATGGTTTTTATTTTAAACAAGATGTCCAGTGTGAAGACATAAAGGCATTTTTTGGAGCTCTAAAAAGGAGTACTTTTTTAACAGTAGATTAAGAAGGGATTTGACCGTCAAAAAGGATAAAAAAAAATGTTCAAAATTTCATGTAAGTAAAACCCTACACGTTTGAACTGTAAGATTCCATCTATAGATACAGTGGTGTACACTTATCTTACAGAACGGGTTGACTCAGAAACATGTGGGAGGAAGAGGCATCCATTTCTCTCTTTCATTCAATTCATGGAAAACATGTAGGAGTTATCTGCCGCTTCTCTGTTTGATTCATTTCATTCATTCTCTAACCACACGCTGTGGGCAGAAATGCCGAATGAGTCTGTTGCTGTGTGTTACAGTAACTCTCACACCCAATCATTCGTTCTTATTTTCCTCGGTTTAACACTTATATATTATATGTAATAAATCGATGCATGTACCCCAATGTGATGGGAAAGACATTAATGTTCAACAAAACACCATTTTCAATAATGATACAAGAACAACAACCTGGGAGCTTTAATTCAATCCAGTGTTCTGTATCTTTAAATTAATCAAATGTTCGACTGGTTTGTTTTTTTTCACAGACTTTTCACAGCAAACTCCTTTGACCTGATCGACGAGGATGCCTTCTTGGGTTTACCTCATCTTGAATATCTGTAAGTAATGTGTTCATTCCTTTATGAAAGCCTGGTACATTCTAGGACGCTGTACATCCCAGCAATTAGCACATTGTCTGTATTGTGCTAACAGGAACTGATGAAACACAACATTACAATCAACATCAATGACACCTTTTCAAACTTTTACTACAGTTTTAGTTTTCCTAAATGTCTGGTAGTTTATCCTTTCTAATGTTATGTTCTGTTTTAGTTGTCCAGCATTGCATTCTGAAACAATGAGTCCATTATTGGAGTACCGTACTAACAGAAAATAAGCAAAATTGGCATGCAAGTCCCTACACACTCAAGTTTCAACCACACATGTGCTTACAGTTATGTTGCCTGATTAGAGAGGACAACCTACATCTTTATGATTCTAATGCGTTTATAACGTTTGCTGATGTTGGGTCATGACAGAGCTTAGCTGCTTCCCAACCCACCCCCCCCCCCCAAAAAAACAACAAAAAAAAACGAGCAGAAGCACGGTTTGTTCAGGCCCTAGGGTATGCTACATATTATAATTTTTTGGGGCTTTGAAGGTATTACATTATACAACTCTATAACTGGAGAGAACCTGCAGAAAGTTAGGATATGATTCCCATTATCAGTGTCAAAATGTATCGTATATTTGCATGTGATTGTTAACCTTTTTTTTAATCCACAGATTTATTGAAAACAACATAATTTCATCGATATCCCCTTTTGCTTTTCGAGGCCTGAAAGCTCTGATACATCTGTAAGTATCTTCCTTGTATTCCTTTCTATTTTTCAAATTCTTGGTATACTTGTTTTTTCCCCCTTTTTTAGAATCAATGATCTGCACAGCCATATTTCACATTCTCCTTTCTCTGTGGTAATGGGATATTAGTATTCACGTTGTATTAACATAAAACCTGAGCATCAATTCCACTTTTTCTACTCTGTATCACTTCGTCAGTGTCTGAAATGCAAAGGTAGGCAAATTGCCGCTGACAGTGGTGATGAACAAGGTTACTGTTTGTAGCAGTCAGCTGGATCAGGTTGCTGAGGCCTGATCTGAATGTTAGTGACTCAGTGAACCAGCAGAGCACATTTTGACTTTAAAAAAAAAAGGTGAAATTGTTCAGTGTCTGTGATTGTCATAAAGAATTGTTTAGCTTTTTTCAGTTAATGTCAGTTATGAGCAGTAATGTTATATTTGAGAAATGTATGATGTCAGTTGTGTGACTGATAAATAATGCATAGTTTGACATGTATTTGTATTTAGAGTTTTAGTATGAAGAAAAGACGTCATTAATTAGTGTTACTCATTAAGAGTAATAAAAGTAGCAAATTCCCGATGAAGAAAAAAGATAACCAACAATGTTTTTGTAAACACTCAAAGCTTTTCAAATCTAAAGATAGGTGAGAACGTGAGTGACTGTAGGTCAAGACTAAATATAACTGTACTGAAACTTTAAACCTTGTGACCTGTACTCTGTCCCCTATTCTCTGACGGGTCGTTCCAAGCCCGTTTAGAGTTTATGCAGTAAAGTCGAATGCTGGCATACTTTTGCTCAGCATCACAAATGTTTGAACTCTCACCAATCATATTTTACATTGATGAAACACAGTTTTTTTTATTCCTTAGGAATTGCTTTTATTCTTGCTGATCCATCTGTCAACACAACACATGAAAACCGAAGAGTTATTTTTCAGTTTGATTGTTATCTGGTTAATCATAGCTGAGCTGCACCTTTGCTGTAAGTAGGAAGAAAATGTTATAATGGCATACTTGTAAAAAGACCAGCCAATAATGAGTGTTTTGACTCCATTATAAAGGATAAAGTGGTAAAACATAGTGAAGTGAAACATGGAAAAGTAAATTACCATTTACGATAAATCTATCATTAGAAAGCATGTTTTGAACGTGCCACATATACTAGTTTCATTATTTATAAGCACAACCAGGGGTCATACAATCCTACTTCATGTACATCATGATTAGAAAGTGCACCTTTTCACAAAATCATAGAAAAATGGCCTCTCTCTTCAAAGAAAACAGACTCTTGGATAAATAAAGCAGAATTCAAATAGTGCTGACATTCCTCACATCTCTTTTGGAGTTTATTCTCTTAAAGTTCTACCTAACAAGGCCAGCTTTGGTGGGTTCATTTAAACTTTCCTTTTACAATGTCATCCACATGGCAGTCTTAAAGAGGAGGTTTGTGTGTTGGATAAAACTGGCTTTTCATAAATGGCATTCTTTCCCTGTATGAAATGTAATTGCCCTTCTTTCATTTCTGTTTCTATTTCACACTGGAGCCAGTTGTCTCATTATTGTTATCAGAAAAGCACAGGGCAGACTTAAATTTTGGTATTTTGTTCACTTTTCTCCTTCTGAAGACAAGCTGGCAAACAGAAGAATTGAAAAGCCACTATAATGACTAGACAGACAGTGTCCCGACCCAAAGTCAATTATATGCAGAGAGGCAGTCTAATTCAATCACTTTGTGTATGATTTCCTCTCTGTGCTGATTAGGAGTCTGGCTTACAACAACCTTGAGACGCTGCCCAAAGATGTCTTCAAGGGCATGGATGCTTTGACCAAAGTGTGAGTATAGTTTGTCTCATGTCTGGCTGAAACATCTAACAACCATTTAGTTTATCAGTTTCCTCTGCAGACATATTTGTGGATTTATGTAAGGTTATTTTTTATAGATAAACTACTATTTGAAGTAGAAAACGTTGTATCAAATGAAATGCCACACTTTATGGTACTACAGAGACTTTTATTGGGGAGGGGTTAGGAGGCATCTCTGTCTTTCTTTTTCTTTCCTAAAACTGTGATTAAATATTTGAATAATTTTATAAGCGCATGGTGATTAAAAGGAAGGATGAGGGACATCAGACAAAGGAAATAAAAGAGGAAAAATGCGGAGATAAAAAGTATGAAAAGTTAGGGGAAAAAACAAGATTTTACAAGAAGCTATGTCCTGAAATGAAGACGGGGATAATAAGTGCGAGAATGTCTGAGTAAAATAGTGAATTACAGAGAAAAGAAATAGATTCTGGCTTTAGACTGCAACAATCAGGCAGAATAATGCAGGCTACAGTGATTCTGTACACACAACCAAGGTCGACAGCAATTCAGACTGGGAGTAGGCGACAAGCACAGACTACTTAGGGGACAGGACACTTGTTGTGGCTTTTCTGGCTTCAACCCAAAGTGCAGCCAAAGGACAGGAGAGACAGATAATAGAACAGGAAGCAGACACAGAACAGGAAACAAAAAGCTTAAGACTCATGTTAGATATTAGTGTAATGATGTCTGAGCAAATGCATTGATCATGCACATAGGGATCTACGAGGCAATAACCTCATATGCGACTGCAAGCTGAAGTGGTTGGTGGAATGGATGCATAACACTAATGCCACCCTGGACCAGATCCACTGCAGCGGCCCACCCATCCACCAGGGGAAGCTGCTCAATGATCTGCTGCCACACTCTTTTGACTGCATCACATCAGGTATTTTCTTTCTGAGTCATAGAAGCATAATAGAAGATACAAAAGCTAAATCTATGAAATCTAATAAAGAAAGGGCTGCTTAAAGGTTATATTCCCATCTTTCTCACAGAAGACGTATCAATATAAAATCATTATTTAAGGATAAGTCAAAATTGACTATGATGTCATCTTTTTTCAGAGTTCGCCTCCTATCAGTCCCTGAAGTTTGAGTCCATTTCGGTGGAGGCCTTCACCTTCGGTATGGATCAGTTTGTTGTGTTTGCTCAACCGTTTGCTGGGACGTGCAGCTTCCTGGAATGGGATCATGTTGAGATGACCTTTAGAACCTATGACACCATTGAAAGTGAGTTCATGAAAAAGTAAGCAGCAGCTTTGTTGTTGTTGTGGAGAAGGCCGGCATAAATATGTTCCTCCTGAAATGCCACTGTGGAATTATTAATAGGGGCATGAATGAATGAACTGTATTGTGTCAGATGTGGTGAGGTGCTCTTTATGGTATACAAAAAGAAAGCTGGAAGACTATATCCAGACAAGTCTTTAGCACAACACAAGTTGTATTACTAGCTAAGACAAAAAGTAGTTTGAAAATGACAAATGTATTCTTAATTTCAGTTACTTAATTTTTAGATGTCAATGTGTCATTGAAAGAAAGTCTGTTATCCAAACAATACCAACACTATGACGTGTTTTCAATACAGCCCCCAATTCAAAGTGCTGATATTTATACTACCTAATTGTTGTGATGAGTCATACATTTGGTGACCTTAGTATTATAGACCACTTAAAGAAACTGTTGAAAAGCTATCTGTAATTATTGAAAAGTGCACCTAAGTATATAACTATGTTGTCTGCATAAAGGTGTATTTTCCTAGTTTGAAAGTCCTTCCCAATGTTGTCTATTAAAAAATACATATTGATAATGATTGACTAACCCATGTTTATAACATGTCCTTGATTTTTTGCCTTCTCTTCTATCATGCAGGCACCTCCACTGTGGTCTGTAAGCCCATGGTGATTGACAACCACCTCTTTGTCATAGTGGCTCAGTTGTTTGGAGGCTCGCACATCTACAAACGCGACATCTCTGCCAACAAGTTCATCAAGATCCAGGACATTGACATCCTCAAGATTCGCAAACCCAACGACATTGAGACGTTCATAATCGATGGAGAGTCTTTCTTTGTCATTGCAGACAGCTCTAAGGTTGGCAAATCTTGCTTTACCAAAACTCAAAAGCATTGAATCAAAACATTCACACCAACATTTTTTATTATTGTCTGATTACAAGGATTGAACATGTCTTCAAATTGCTTATGATGACCAAACCGCACTCCTTTATCAGCGTACAATAGTCTATATTTCCTTGTAAGGCTACATTACAACACCATCTTTTCTAACTATATAATTGAACCACATAATGGATTATACAGTAGTTAGCTTGTGATGCTAAATTTGAGGCAGCTTGGCTATCAGCCAGCAAAGCAGAGTGAAACTGATTTTAAACAAGAAACTGCTTGTTTTTAATGACTGCGTCCACTTGATTTTGCAAAAGGAGAGCTTTGCGAATTTGTCTGTAAAAATAAATAATGGCCAGCACGACACGTAGATAAAAACAAGCTGCAGACCTAAATAAGCAAGCATCAGCTCGGCCCTGCGAAAAGAGCTTCAGAGAAATAAACAAAAAGCTTAAAAAAGGATTAATCTTAGCAGGGTCTATTTGTTTTGTAGAGGAAGATGCCACTGCAGATCGTTCTATTCTTGCTGTTGCTCCTGCTCTGTAGAAGAACCTAAATACAGAGATGCAACTGACAATCTGCAGGTCAACAGCCCAAATCATTATCTCATAGGAGCAGCCCGACTGATCTCTTTATGTGGCGCATGTGTTTCTGTTATTGTATCCAGCCACTGTATACACACTGCTCCTCTAAACCACTCCTCCCACCATGTTAGCATTTTCTTCCCTCTGGTGTCTTTCTCTGCAGCATGTCAGTTTACAGCTGCTGATTACCCTGGCACTGCTAAATGTTCACATATGCTCTAACATATGCTCAGGGACACTCAGGCAAACATACAAGCACGCACACACTTGTACTAAATTTGCAATTTATTGGTCAATTACTTGTCAAATGTAATTCTTCTTCAGACTTTTTAGATCTTATTTATCAGTTGGTTGCAGTAAGACTTTATGTGCTTCCTCCTCTCATAGGCCGGCTCAACAACAGTGTACAAATGGAACGGTAACGGCTTCTACTCCCAGCAATCCCTCCACCCGTGGTACCGCGACACAGATGTAGAATATTTGGAGATCTCCAACAAAGCCCACCTGATCTTGTCCAGCAGCTCCCAGAGGCCTGTAGTCTACCAATGGAACAGGAGCCAGAAACAGTTTGATCCCAGGACGGACATACCCGACATGGAGGATGTCTTCGCCGTCAAACACTTCCAGGTCAAAGGTTAGGGCTGCAGCTGTACACACATTTTATATTTAAGACATTTCAGTATCAGATGTTTTGAAGAATTTGTCCCTGACATAGCATACAGTACATTTGCTGAAGACGAAGACCATTATTCATTGTTTGATGCAAAAATTCTTGGGTGTGCAGTTTGATTAACAGTGGACTTTGATCCATGGCCAAACATTCAGTTAATTTAATAAAAGGATTTATGACTCACGCTCTTTAACTTGCAGTTAATTTATTACACTTAAGCTCCTCGTTGCTCTGCATTTCAGAGGCATTTACTTTGAAGGTGGTAAGAGTAATTGTCACCGTTCACTGCCAAATAAACCTGCACATATTTTATTACTGTCAAATGTTCTTACCATTTTTTCTTTCAAAACAGAAAGCTTATCTATTATGGAGCATTTTTGAAGTAGCAATTCATAACAAGATGTGAATTATTTTGGAGTTATGTAAACTGTTTTTTTTCCCCCCAGCTTTTCCTATTTAGATTCAGATTGAAGTAGCTGAATGTGAGAGCTAAACAGTCTCTTGAATCTTTTCAAAGGTGAGCTGTTTATATGCCTGACAAGATTCATCGGGGACTCCAAGGTGATGCGCTGGGACGGCGCCATGTTCAAAGAGGTCCAGACATTTCCTTCCCGCGGCTCCATGGTGTTCCAGCCTGTCTCCATCGGCAACTGGCAGTACGCCATCTTGGGTAGCGATTATTCACTGACGCAGGTCTACCAATGGGACAGCAAGAGGAGCCAGTTTGTCCCATCCCAGGAGCTGAATATCCAGGCGCCTCGGGCATTTTCTATGGTTTCCATTGACGACCGAGTGTTCCTGCTTGCGTCCAGCTTCAAGGGAAAAACTCAAATATACGAGCATCTCATGATTGATTTGAGTAATTAAACCCCTTATCAATTTGTAGGGATGGGTTAACGTTGCCATTCAAAAATGTTTTTTTTCTGTGATTTTGAATTGAACTCCAAAGTCACATTAGAAATGCACCAGCAATTCCCAACTAACTTTAAAATAAGGATGTTTCAAGGAAAAGGTATCATGAATACAATCTATACCCTTATTGGTTGGAATTCTTCCATTGGTTATCATCATTGGGATTATTTTGTTGCCTTTGACTATTTTCACGCTACTGAATATATGTCCAACTACTTTATTTTGATAAACTTCTTTAATTTCATCTTTATTCTTTAAGATATGGGGGATTATTCTGCATTTGATAAACCCAATTCCACTCAGAGTGCGAACTGACTATCTTTAAGGACAACAAGCTATGAAACGTGTATTCACCCTGCAGGTGCCCTTGCAGTTACAACACATACTGTATATATCTCAGTACAGTGTATTTCTACTGTATAGTAATGATTCCATTTTGACTTTGGTAGTGGTAATAGGAACATTATAGTGTAGGAAAATAGGGTGAAAAATACTTCTGAATATAATAGGGCAAACTAACTGGATAGACTCTAGAAAAAAAAGTCCTGCAAGTCTTCTCTGATTTTAATAAGCACCTCAGGAAATTTGACTTCAGAGTGACATGCCATTGCTAGAAATAAGGATGGAATGGAACATGTGTAAAACTAATGGGATGGTCAATGAAGGAACGTCTTACTTTGTATTTATTATAGGGACCAAATTTGAACATTTACGCATTTTTGTCCCAGGTATCAAATCGGGCCAATTGTTTTGATACCTTAATCACGAACCACCTTACAAATGTCTTTTTAAATTAAAATACGATCAAACTTATGTGATATCAAAACAGCAGCAGTGCTGTGTGAACTTCAAACCAGGAGAGACAGAGCTACTTCTGGAGAATGATGTCCTCCTAAAGGGCACTTTGGCAGCAGTTTCACCTGTGTTCCATCAGTTATTATGATTACTTTTTCATTTCTTGAAAATGATGATCCTAGTGTATAAATTTAAGAAACAAAACACAAAAAGTTACACAAGAAAACGCCTCTATCCTTTCTACTCTATGGCCCATCGGTTGAGCAAGACTGCATGCATGACACTGACTCCACCAGTGTTGAATCCTGATGAAAGACCAGCTAGAAGCGTCCCACTGTGTCACCTTTTTCACTGCACTCTTGCCCCTTTTCTCCCTCATTGACAAAACCATTGTTGTCTTCACTCCACAACTAAAAAGCCAACCACTGTGCAGCACCTAGCATCTGTGCTTTTACACACACACACACACACACTCCTCTTACTCTGACACAAAAGAGACACAGTTCTGATAACAACTAACACCTTCACTGACAACAATTTGCCAAATATAATGTTTACGTTTTTATGACACTGTGTAAAGTAATTTATATATCGCTTTTGTATGTAGATGGGACCACACTTGGTGTTTTATGTTTTGAAGACATAACGCTGTGTAGGTACAACAAAGACAATTAGAGATCACCTCTTTTGGGGTCGTAACATGCTACTATGGTTAATTAGTTTATGCTAACTTGTGTCAGTGTATTATAGTTAGGTAGTGATAGAGGTTTTTAGCTGTTTCTTTGTCATATTGGTAATTGTATTTTATGTACATTAATAAAATACTAAAATGCAACATCATATAGTTCCATTGTTGTTTCTGTTAAATTGGTGGTGACATTTTATTTTTAATACCATAAGGAAATAATCAAGATTTGTGTTGGAGATAGTTTTTAAAATGCAATTGTTTTTCTTGGCTTCATAAACTTTTTCTGTGCGAGTCATTATAAAAAGAAGACCGTATTTAAAGCTCAGTGCAGTAAGTGCATTTGGCGTATTGCTGGCATCCCACTTGTGCGGTTAGAAGTAGGCCAAGAATGAAAAATGAAATAGTAGAAAGTGAATTAATATGAGCCTAAAATCCAACAGTAAGAGCAAAAGAATAATTGCCTCCAGGAAATAATTTCACAAACAAATTCCAATATCATTCAGGCTATATTAAATGTATCCAAAACCATTATGGTCCATTAGTTTTTTTGCTTTTACAGACTTATATATTCATTTTTAATGGTTCAAATCCCCACTGCCTCCCCTCGAAATGGGCGTCGTGTTTTAACTATCCAGCAGGGTTAGTTTGGGATCAGTTCTGCCCCCCTGTGGGTGAAGTAACTACCGCATGGGGGGATTGTAATTCCGCTACCAAGGATAGACATTAACCTTGTCTTTTCTCAGTCACCCAGGGCACCAAAGAAGGCGGACTGTACTCTGTCCAAGGCATGCTGTCGCTCCGCCGTCACATCTTACTATGGGCGACTGTAACAACTGTACACACGAGCGGGCTTTAACCGTAGAGGACGACATTACTGTAGTGTTTCACAAAGTTGACAACCATGGCAGAAACGGCGGCGGCGACGACGACGACCACGGCGAGAGTGGCGATGACGAACGCACAACGGAGACGATTCACCTGCGAAGTAACTGTCGCGGTTACGACGACGATGATGCTGCTGCTGCTGAGGAGGAGAAGGAGGAGGAAGAAGAAGAGAGGGGAAGTGAAAATTCACAGGAAGGCAGCAAGAAGAAGAAACGATTATGCCCACCGGCTTTTTGCGTCAGAAACGAGCCCGCACCCCGAGAAGAAAGCGCACGTGAAGGTATAGGCTCGCACGCGCTTGTTTTCTTTAATTGCGTAATCAAACTGTGGACTAAAGTGTGGTAGTGGACTGTGACGAGAGGACAATTAGATATAACATGAGGTAATATTTACAATCTACGGTGCACCCAGAGAGCTTACTTCCTGCGTAGCTTTCACGTTATCTAACTGAAACGTCATTTATCACTAGAGCTGATATCACGTGTGTGCTATTAGCCTATTGCCAGTTTTATAGTCGAAGGAAATCCCAGTTAAAGGAACTTTACACCGAAGCTGGGGGCCTATGGGTTATTTTCCCCTTTCAGAATAAAATCTTTGAGTATCTTTAAATATATACTTAATGTCTCACTATGATGAACTTTTCCCCCTTAACATTGTTTTGTATGCCTAATTGTAGCCTAGATATCAACAACACGGTTTTCTAACGAGCCTAAATCTGTAGTCCAGGGGTGTCCAAAGTGCGACCCGAGGGCCATTTGCGGCCCTTGAGGGGATTTTTTGCGGTCCGTGACTTCGACGCCTCGTTTAAGATTGGCACATTTTCTTATTTTTCTTTTTCATGTTAGCAAGGGCTGAGCAATATTCCTAAAATATGTTCATGACTATTTTGGCCCGCAAGAAAAAAAGTTTGGACACCACTGTAGCCCATAAAGATAAACTGCTGTAAGACAGCTTAACATTTGCATCACCCTTAAAGAGGATGGATGACTGTGCACTTTTAACTCACAGCCAAGGGCCACCTCAAAGTAGCATTTTTTGTAATTCTCAATCTTTTAAATTCAATCTAAACTTGTCCACTATAGCTTTAATGGTAATCTGTTTATATTTGCCCAACAACCCAGTTCAAGTAGCAGTTGCACAATAGCAAAAAAAAAAGTATTTATCCTTGGCTGTAACTGTTTTAGAAAAATAAGATGTTGTGGATTTGTTTTATTGTTAGTTTTTAATACCAGAGGCTTATAATAGAGATATTTTGTAGGGCACTGCTTAATAACGTTTGTACCTGGTGAAAAAAGGACCTGACCAACAGAGCTTGTGAAGAAGACAGACTGAAAACTGCAGTAGCCTATAGAGTAGAAATATTTCTTGTCACTCTTAAATGAATACTTTGACGCTGTTCAAGGATACTAACCCAAAACATACTTCTAATTTTAGTTGTCCAATAAAATGTGTGTTATATTAATACAGTAATATACAATCAAAATATAATCATCCTTTCTCCTAGGTCTTACATTTAAAGTAAGAATATAATAAAACACTAGAGGCAGAACTGAAATCTGAAAGTGTTCCTGCATTAAGAAAAAAACATAAAGGTAAGGTAAGGTCTTGTGCTTGGTGCAAGGCAAGGAAAACACATACTGTATGATAAAAAGGAAACCTCACATTGTGTACTATTACATAAGACAGACACCTGTGTGACCTCAGGTTGAAATCTAATCTACACAAATATATCAGTTTATTGCTCCACAGGCAGGGTTTGCAAACAATACGCTGCTCTCTTTTGCAGATCTTTTGTTTGTATATTTTTCAACAGAATATCTATTTCGGCCACACAGAGTTCAATAACAGACTCTCAGCCTCGGTGTTTCACCCTGTAGTCACTGTGTCAACATAAGCGCTACAAGATAAGCAACATGTTAAGAAATGACAGCCTTCCTTTGACCCTAATCTGTGATTCTCTCCTCCTTTTTTGTTTGCACAGGCTCAGAGAAACAAAAGAGATGTCCAGGTATTGGTTTGTTCTACGCTTTCCTGTCCACAGTTTTTTTCTCCATCATTGCCCTGTTGGTGAAAACCATCCAGGGAGTCCACGCCGTAGAGATCAGTGCCATACGCTGCTTCTTCCAGATGATCTTTACTATGCCGTTACTCATCTACAGCAAGTAAGCATCATGAAGACACTCCCAACATTTAGGTTTACATCGTTTAACAGTCAAACTTTAATCCCTGGTACAAATGTGATATAAACCATACATGATATAATTAAGGCTATGGTAATACATACAGTAATAATAAACAATGATTTATATGTTATGATTGGATTAACTAAAAAAAACAAAGCAAAGATCTGCAGATCCCTGCTAGTTTTTCTGCATTTGTGTTTGTGCCTCGTCACTCAATTCATAGGCAGTTATTTTGGCTTAACACAGAGTCGCTGCTCAAACAAGTTAAAGTTGTCAAAATACTGTAAGAGACATGTATCATTCCCTTTTGTCTTGTTGATGGCAAACATATGATACTGATTAAGTGTCGGCTGTTGGGAAGGTTTTTCTAAAGCTTCCTGTCAACCTGTCAAGTGCAAAAAAAACTGCTGTTCCTCCTGTCCCACTCCTACAAGAGTGAGAGTCAGAAGTCCCCTTAAAACCCGTGATAAAATGACATCAGAAATTAATGTGTTTACAGCCTGGTAACAAAAATGGTTTTGGCCCGAATAGTACATTTCTTTTTGGCACATAACCGTATACAGTATACTCTATAACTTGTGTGTTAAGATTTTATGAAGGATAAGGCATTTAGATAATTAGAGGTTTGGCTGATCTGACTCCACACAGGGGAGGGGCCGTGTACGACGGGGAGTTCAACCAGAAGCCTTTTTGCTTTGAGGTGACAGTGCTTACCACTGCACCAAAGTGCGGCCACATATGACGTTTTCATCTGATTTTTTTAATCCAAGGGCACTAAAACTAAAAGATTAGGGAATTATTAGAAATAAACTAAAATGGTATCAGAAAAAACCAGCACATATCAACAATAAAACACAAAAAGACATTCAAAAGTTGCACCCAGTGATAAAATTTGCCTATTACAAAAGTCACTGGATACGCTAATATCGGCTGATAGTATCGGCTGATAGTATCGGCTGGCCAATTAATCGGTTGGGCTCTATTGCAATAACTTGCTCACCCTCAGAAAACAACAACAACAAAAAAACACATACCAGATGTGCTAAGGGAAGGAAGATATGATAAAATATTGCATCTTATACCAATTGTACTCAGTGCATTTATTGCGCTAGCTTGCTTTGATTCACTTCATCTTTGGAGATTAAAAACTACAAACGCTTTGTTTTTTGAACAGCGAAAACAAATTGACTTAAGAACCAAAATTTTATCTCAAGAATCAAAATAAACCTAACTCTCAAAGACTTCCCCAGTTCTTCTATTCATTTGTTTACCTATTCGTCCATACACCCATATGTCCTTTACATTCCTCCTCCTTTTTTTTTTTTTTTTTTCATCAATTCATCACCGCCTCTCCTTTCAGCCCCAACATCACTTTCATCAATCCGTCACTGTCATCTTCACATGACCTAGATCTACCCATCTGTCTCTCCAGCCGTCCGATCATTTGTCTTCCTCCAGCTCACTCATTGATGCCAAATATTTCGGAGGAATTCCGTGTATAACTTCCTCTATCACTGAGTCCAATCATCCATCCATCCTGTCTTTCATTCATCCATCATCCTCGTATCTCCTCTCCTCCAGGACAGGTTTCCTCGGTCCAAGGGATAAACGTATATATCTGGTGCTTCGGGGTTTCATTGGATCCAACGCCATGATCTTGCTCTACTATGCAGTTCAGCAGATGCCGCTTGCAGATGCCACGGTCATCATGTTCAGGTGAGAGTGGGGAAGAATGTAATTGGTTGTGGATTAGCAGACATTAGAGTATCATTACAAATATGTTCTGTCCTGCCTGATTTCTACAACTTTCACCTTTTTCTGTTAATCTCCCTCTTGTTCTCTTTCTTTCCTCTCCCTTATCTCTGTTTCTTCATTACTCTCAATTATCGCTCCCCCCTCATATCCCGGCAGTAATTCATTAAAGATCTGCTGGAAGGGATTTTAATAGAGCGAGATATCTAATATGAGACAAATCCGATGAGATTAAACCTGTTGGCCCTCAAATTCCCTCTATTTATTTTTTTTAAAACATCATACTGTTGAGGAAATTATTAAGACTTGACTCCATACAATAAAACTCAGTTGACTCAGATGGCTTACGTTGATGAAAGTTTATACATAAAAAGAGTATGTATAAAGGGGGCATGTTTCAACATCACACTTCTGTACTCGTTTCTTGCTCCATCACAACTGCAGAACTTTTCGAAAGGCATCGCAAATATCCTAAAAGACATTACCTTTATCAGGGTCGTGTCACATTGACCCACCTAGACTAATCTGTGACGTCAATAACACTGGAGCAGACAACAAGTCTACCAAACATCCTTGCAGAACAGTTGACACTCTCTAAGCTGTACTTGGTGTTCTAATAACAGCTGAACTCTGTCAGGACTGACTGACACTAGAGAACAGTGAATAAACCTAATGACATCTGTACATTATAATCTAAATAACTACAGAAATTCCACCACACATACCTCCATTCATACCTTGCTTTCCTTGTTCCCTTTCGTTTCAGTAATCCAGTCTTCACCTCCCTCCTGGCCTGGATCTTCCTAAAGGAGCGGTGTACAATCTGGGACTGTGTCTTCACTCTATTTACCCTGACCGGAGTCATCCTCATCGCTCGACCGCCATTTATTTTTGGCGAGGATCCAAATGGAATTGAAGGAAACTACAGTAACCACCTCAAGGGGACCATTGCTGCATTTGCAGGTGAAAAAGATTCCTCTGTTCTATTTCATGAAGCGCTCAAAAAGCAGTGAAGTTTTGTTGACCATAACTTAAGTAATACAGAAAAGAAGTATCATGTTGATGATTTATAGCTTAACACAATCTGGCAGTAAGTAAGTGTCATTATCATCCCTAACAAGTATACTTAGCTGTAGCTGCTTTGATTTATCAAATAACCCAGGCAAAAACTGAATGCTGTTTCTGCAGAGCTAAGAGCTTCTTCATGACCAACCATAAGAAGATCCTGTGAGTCACGGATTAACTGATTGGATTTTTGTGGTCAAAGGTCAAGGTCATCCCTGATCTCTTTGCATCTGTCTTATTCTTGTCAAAGCTCAGCACTCCGTACTCCTCTGTAGTAAAAACAAAAATAAACATAAGGAGAAGACAGCTTGTTCCTTACTATAAGTTATTCATTGAACTCATTCAGTCAATAATAAATGATAACTTCCATTTTCACTCAAAACCACCAATACCAACACGTATCTCAAAGACCTTGCTACAGGCAGCTTCTAGCGCCCCCAAGGGTCTCCGAATGAAATGACAAATGAAATGGGAGTTCTCACTTTGTTGTTTTTTTGCAGTGCAATTTAAAAACTTAACCGAACAACACTACAACTGATAGGACTCACTGGAGTGATCTCCCAGCCCATTAAACCCTTGTGTTCCCCGCAGACATTAAAAATGCTGAATGCAACTTTGCATGAAAAGAAGCGCAAAAGATTCTCACGCCCGGAAGCTCCTGTTGAAAAGATTTATTAACAAGTGACGTAGAAGTCTTAGGAAAAGCGCGTTGGCTCGGAACATTCTCCTCCACTTAGGGATGTGCGTGTCTTTTCTGATTTTTCATCAGCTACAGAGACCAAAGCAGGGCGGGCAACACAAGTGTCTTAATTGCGTTTTGCCATTGACGAGAGGGATCATTTTGATGCTGCCACTTAAGAGAAATATTTAAGAATAATTATTTTATAAAGGTGCACTTTGGAGTTTAGGTGGTGAAATTTGAAAGTTGGAGAAGTGAAAAAATTCTATGCTATATTTTCTTAACCAAATACACAAACTTTACTCAAAGACAAAATGGGTCCGTTGAACACTGTTTGGAGCTTAAAGCTAACAGGGGAGTTATGGTTTCACTCTTGCAGGCCCGTCACCATAACTTCTTGCGTCACATTTTATCTTCAATCAGTGTTCCAGGGACCAAGTTTTCCTCTGAGGACAGTTTGTGTATAGAGGAAATGAACATATACGACAAAATCTGTACACTTCTCCAACTTTCACTAAAACTACATAGTGCAACTTTAAGAATAAACTCAAACCAACAAGAATTTTAATTAACTCAATGAATTGAAGTGTCAGACGTCTTTCTTATTGATCAATCCTGTTTGTAATATTCTTCTCCTCTCTGTACTCAGTTTAATCTATTTATTTTTTGACATTTTATTTATAGGAGCTATTGGAGCTGCTTTTACATTTGTTGTCCTTCGAAAGATCGGGAAGAGCGTCCATTACTACCTCTCTGTCTGGTACTACGCTGTCATCGGCTTCATCGAGTGCGTCATCACCGTAACCATCCTTGGGGAGTGGAAGATCCCGTTCTGTGGCCGTGATCGCTGGATCCTGGTGCTGATCGCCGTCCTGGGTATCGCCGGACAGATCTTCCTCACAAAGGCCCTGCAGATCGAGAAGGCTGCACCCGTGGCCCTGATGAGGACTTTCGATGTGGTGCTGTCATTCATCTTCCAGTTTATCTTCTTCAACCGCGCACCGACCTGGTGGAGCCTTGGCGGGGCGCTGTGCGTAGTCGCGAGCACTAGTGGAGTAGCACTTAAGAAGTGGTTCAGCAACTCTCGGAAGAGCTGAGGCAACGTAGAGTACTTTGGTATTACTATTTATTCTTCATTTTCTATCTTGTGTTCTTGATTTCTTCTGTATTTTACTCGTTATTTACACACAGAACTGTGAGAAAGTTTCAGATCTTTAACAGAAGAAATATAGAAGAATCGTCAGGTAGATGTTATCAGCGAGGCTTTCAATTCGTAACTGAATTGTGTACCTCTATACAAATTGATTCCTGAGAATCAAGCTGTGTATTTTATTATTATGCTTTTTTTTTGTCCCTGTGGAAACATCTTTGAAGGAAATAAGAGGAAAACCTTGCAGAACTATATCCTGCTCTGTTGAGCCTGTGTACCTAAATAACCACCTATAAAACGGAGATTTCCCTTTATCTCTTCTATGAATGACATGCTTTTACAGCAAAAATGCTGCTGAAGAATTTCCCATTTGCTTTAACTTTAAATAACCAAAGAGAGAGGTTTTCTGCATTGGGACCAAGTATACTGTGTCAAACTGTAAATCTTAAACTACAGATTTCATTTTAGAGTGCTAACTTCTAGGCACTTTTAAAGAGGTCAGAAGCAAATATATATATATATATATATATATATATATACATATATATTAACGGTGCTGACAATAGTAGCCACATTGTTTTTTGTGTCATTTAAAAAACTGGAGTCAACAAAAAGAAATGTTGAAGTTGAATATGAAGTTCCTAAATGAAGTTTTACTTGAAAACATGCTGTATGATTCTCTCAGGGATCTCTTGCCTAACTGCTTTAGAATTCAATTCAATTCAACTTTTTTGGTATATCACATTTCATACAAATGTAAACTCAATGTGCTCTACATGAGACACAAACAAACACATTTAAAAAAGGACCCTGCCCCAACAACACATACCTGTTTCTATTAGAGCGCACACACTATTTACTAACCGTACATATGTACACACACACACACACACACACACACACACACACACACACACACAACAATAAACTAGCAGCCAAAGGCAGGAGAGAAAAGCAATATTTTTAGACTGCTCCTCAAAGAAATAAAAGTTTCTATAGACCTCAGGTCAGCAGGCAGTTTGTTCCACAAATCGCCACCACGGTGACTAAATGCACCTCCGCCAGATTTAGTAAGAAGTTTATATAAAATAACTCATGTACATACCCAAATTGTAAAAATATTCATTTGATATAAACTGAATTTTGATGTCATTGTTCTTCTGCCATCCCTCCTGTCTTTTAAATTAAACATAATGAGCTTGTATACATTATGGCCAATCATTTCACATAATCCTGAAGTGCCTTAAGTAGGGAACTTTCATTTCCAACTCCCCTTAGTTCTCAGTAACCAGCATCTCGCTCAGTTGCACATCTCAGGGGTGATGGTGCATATGAATATGAAGTAGGTTACGTTAAAGAAAAAACTCAAAGGAATGACTATAATTATCAAACATCAAACATCAAACATAAAGTCTTCTTTGTTTTTTATGAGGCACCTGCGACATGATACACCCCGTACCCCCCGCCAAGGCCACGCTGATATCTTCATCGCCTCGGGAGGAGTCAGCTCTCTCATGTTGCCTAGCACTTCTTATCATCTCAGAGAAAAGTATCCTACAAGTGATTTTGGGAGTCTATAAATACCATGCTCAGAGGGTGGTGGGGGGGGGGTGTTGTTTGCACTTTGTCTTTGCTTGAGGGGAGAAAAGGCGTCAATGACCTGCCACTGTTATTCAACAAATGAACCTATCATCATACAAAAGCTGCACACAAAGAAAGCTTCAGGGATTGAAAGATGATAGCCCGCTCAATTAATGCAAGCACCCGAGGAAGAAAGACGAGTGGTGCAGCCTCATCAAAACTCTGCAGGATTTTGCAAAATGAACTCTGCAGCGCACAGATGAATAGTGATGTACCTGTCACACTTTGTGATCTAACTAGAAGGCTGAGATCGAGGTGTTAGCAGCAAAAAACAGTAGCATGGTTTTTGTGTTCGCGTCAGACGGGCATCTGTGATTCATGCATGAGTGGATCTGTGTTAACGGCTGTGTCTGATTGTCATGGTGGTGAAAACAGACATTTGGGCTTTGTGGATGAGTTAAACATTCAGCAAAAACAACAAAAAGAGAGACTAAATACGAGTCCTAAATAGCAAGCATTGTATAGAAGCCAAGAGTGGCCATGCTTGGCACAAGTATTTTCCTCTTTTTAATCACAGATCCGGAGTGTCATACAAGCATGGAAAGATGGCATCTTGAAAACTGTTCAAGGAGAAGATGTCAGAGAAGAAAGCCCAGATTATCAACACATAAAACTGTACTGAAACAAAGGTCTAAAGCACACTGTTCACGTGTGAAATCCCTGACAGTCATTAAAATGAAGGTTTAAACCATTTATTATCCCTAACTTTCGGGAACCTCGATAAATATCTTGCAGAAGAAAAAAGTTCTCCTTTGAAGTGATCCTCTTTTTTTCAGTGGAAAAAAAAAATGGCAACCAAGGTCACTCTTGGCTAGCATATTGTTGAAATATGTTTAGGCCAAAAGACATTGGATCTTGTGCTAAAAGCAATACTGTGTTTCACCCTTTAGGTACTATAAGGTAGCATGTCTACCTGTTTACTCTGCTGCAGTGTTATTACTCGTTGAAACCCCCCCCCCCCAAACATACCCTTGTTTCCACCCATGTTGCTTTCTAGCACAGCAGCCGGCTTGTTCTCTTCTGCTTTGTGTCTTGTAAAACTCGTGCAGTATTTTTTAACATTTACCATTGAGTTTCCTGCTGTCAAGACTGATGAAGTCTCATCACGGCTGTTGAAGAAATGTTTAGTTGGGTGCAATGTTGCTGAAAAAAAGAAAGGCAATTACTGCTGCGAGACTGAACAATTTAATATCCTGCGGTTTCTTCCCTTCTGTTCTTCACATGCCGCTGTTTCTGTTATTGATCCACCTGTTAAGAACTGTGTGGTTCCATCCTCAGACCCCTCCCCCCCCCGCCCCTCCAATTTGAGCTTTCTCTTTTATTAAGGGAAATCTATATCACCACAAACTGAACCCTGAGTTTGCACACACGTTTTTGTTTTATTTTACAGTCTCATGTGAAACCTTTTATTTACCACTCATTTTTGCTTGTATTCTTTATTTTTTGGATCATTTTAATCGTCTTTATGAAGGATACCTTAGACACTCTGAAGAACACCTTGATTGAAAATGGTCACAATGTGTGAGATATGAAAAGCAATGTTCCTTTCAGTGCTGGATAAGCTCTCTCTTATGAGAGTCTTTTTTTGTTGCAGTGGTTTAAACTGGTGCATTCATCACCAAACAAATGCTTAATATTTTACAAAAGCAGTATTTAATTTAAATTGGCATTTGGTTCTGCAGATTCTGATCACACCCACTGGATTTTAAAGGGTACAATAAATATGTAAAACACACCATGCAAGATTATGAATCTGAGAGATGTCAGAGTTTGAAAATAGAAAACAATTGGCCTGATACATGTGATCCCTTTAGTGTAGAATTGATTTAAAGGCGCAGTGACTTTTTGCAACCATTGTTAAATAGTTCACGTCTTTGGAGGCTTATTTGATGTTCTCCTTGTTTGCTTTGCTTCAACATTTTTTTCTAATCAGAATTGTATTTAACGTAAGCACAATGTGATGTATTTCCTTCAGATTGTTAACATTTCTTTCAGGACCTCTAAGCCTTACAAACCTAATGAAGCTGTTATTTAGGGTTTTAAACTATGCTTAAATAGTATTTATTTGACTATTTCTGTACTGTATTACATCAGTATATTCTATAAGATGTATATATTTCTGCATAGTGATGAACTATATTTGGTATATTATGATTTGATAATAAATTCTATAAGAGTTTCTTGTCTTTCTTTGTCTGTGGCGCTACTTCAACAGTTTGTCATAACCGGGCTCAAGAGCTATGACTAATATGGGAAGTACACGATTTAACTCTTAAGTAATAATTATTATATAACTGCAAACATGGAGTGTGTCTGTCAGTAGAGTCAGTAGTGTGAATGTGGATGTTTGGGATGAGTCCAGGTGGAACGAGAGAAAGAGAGAGAGAGAGAGAGAGAGCCACACTGGGGGTTGGGCCCTGAGAGCACCAAGCTCAGGTGCTGGGAATCTGGCTAGCTGATTCCTCTGAAGGAACAAGGGACACAGAACATTAGTAAAAGCCTAGGGTCTGTTGGGGGGGGGGGGGTCCCTCCAACCAGCATTCATTATTATTTTCCTCATTCACTCACAGACAGATAATTCCTCTTCATTTAACCTTCATTGACAAATTTTGTTTTGGGCACTGAGAGTGAGTGCTTTCAGATGGGGCCCGCTTAGAGAGGTTTCAAAATGTGTATATTTTAAGGCAATGCTGTGGCTTAAAGTTTGTCAGCTGTTGGGGGGGCCCCCCCAAAGCAGTTGCCTGCCTTGCCTGTTGACAAGCAGAGCCTCTGCGAGAAGCCTGACTATTAAAGGTATAGGGCAGCGACTGTCACAAGTTGTTTCCCCACTGTCTGTTTTATTTATTTTTTTATAAATCCTTGAGGAATTATTGTTTCTGTCTCACATGACTGAAACGTGTGGAACAAATCCCTGTGTAGAAGCATGTTTGTCCTCGGTCATGGGGTTACTCATGGTTCAATAGGTGACGATAGTACAAACTAGGCTCCACGTCCATAGAAGCACTGAGTCAGATAGCTGTTTAACACGAGTGCTCAGAATAGCACCTGGCTAAATGGGATTGAAACCATTGTTTGTTTGTGTGTGTGTGCATGCGTGCATACAGGTTATTTGTCCTTTTGTTTATTTACCCTTTGTTTGTAAACAACACAGTATAAGAGGCATTGTACATCTGTGCAGAAAGGCTGCAGGTCATTGTGTTGCAATATCACCTATATCATTCCAAACCAAAGGGCCTGTACCTTCCATGGAGGGCTGACTACATGCAGATAAACTTTACTTTGGATCAGGGCACGGCTGCTGGGTAATTCTTCAGCTGAGCAACTCAGCTCAATCAAGTGTGAAGAAGCTGAACGAGAACAAAGCAGTTCTTTGTAATAGAGCGGAACTTGAAGGTTGGGATATCTTGCACAAAAATGGAACACTTTCAGTTCTAAATTTTCCTTCTGATGTTTCAACTCCCAAAGAATTCAAATCCATTCTATATCTATACAGCATTATTATCTATACACACTATACTTTTATTGTTCAGGGTCATATTGTGCCAAGAAGAAACATTTACCAATAATAACAGTTTTATTGTTTACCTTGAGTATATTAAGTGACAGTATTATTGATTCTGTTGCTGTGATTGATTGTGTCATTACTATTTTTATTATTATTGTTGCATTGGAGACCAGATATCGATTGGTTTAGGAAATCTTAATGTCCTAAGAGGTGATTTGGTTTGCAACAGAAGTTCACACAGGCTAAACACATGATCAATACTACATTAAGACATAAATACATATAATTCATAACTCCTATCATAAATAATGATAAATGGTTAATGGACTTGAGCTAGTATAGTGCTTTTCTAGTCTTCTAGTGTTTTTACACAGCATGTCCCTTTAACACTAATTCACACACTGATGCCAGAAGTTTCTATGTAAAGTGACCATCAGGAGTAACTAATCTCATTTGAACACATTCATACGCCACCGACGAAGCAGCGGACGCCACTTGGGGTTAAGTGTCTTGCTGTAGCTGCAAGAGCTGGGGAATGAACCCCCCTCCTGTTAGGAGACGACCGACTCTACCGACTTAGCCACAGCCGCCCATACATACATATAATACATAATACATAATATATAACTAAATAGGATGGTGGCCAATTACTTATGCTGACTCCCTGTCAAGACTCACTGACTGGACACACTATGCCATTGATGAAAGTTAGTGCTGGTCAATAAGCATCTCATAAAAAGTGCAGTACAGACATAAAACTGCATGAGTATGAAAATGACTGTTAAAACCTGCACATACTGTAATACATGTTTACTGACAGCAGAGGGCACAATGCACAAAAAAATGAAGACTCGCTCTTCTTTCACCTGTAAAGTCACCTTTCCTGAAACTAGTTTTAAAAATAGCATGAAAAAAAGTAATAAAATAAAGGATAAGAAATATATATATTTATGAGAAAATATAGAATATGAGGACCAGATAGACGATTTAAATCACAAAAAAAGAAACAAACAAAAATGACTGATCTGTTTAGTCACAGTTGACACACTTTTGTCACAGTCTAATTGTTCATTATCCATGGAGGTAAACACACCTGGTTTGATATGACTCACTGAAACACTGTGTGGCCTGAAATGCAACTTGTTTGAGTTTCTGCCAACAGCCATGAATGCAACACATCTGCTTTAGCCTGTATTTATTACATTGCAACATGTGAGTGTAAGTTGTGATGTCTTTTTTAAAAGGTACCTTTGGGCTATTTTATTGAAATGGCAGTAGAGAGAGAGAGAGAAACAGGAAATATTGGGAAGAGCGAGTGGGGCAAGACATGCAGATGATGTTTGTAGGTAAAAATGCTCGATAATACAGGAAAAAGCCAGCATCCCAGTCCCTGCTTTGAATCAGTAAACTGGGGATTCCCACAGGTTCTTCGAGCTCCTGGGTGGAGGAGAGTTGGAGGAATGAAAGGGTTGCACATTCCTCATGGATGGCATCAGACTTCCCATCAGAGGAGCGGGAGGGAATTGGAAAATCTATCCTTCATTTTCCAAGCTGAAATAAATGCATTTATAGGCTGTGAAGTGGAAAAGGGGACCTTTTTCAAGCACGTGCTTTTGCTGTCCCTGCCGGGGGCGGGGCAGAGGTGCGTTCAGGGTCAGAACGACTGGGACAGCCGCTACCTAGGCCTGATGTTATTATTATAGGCTAATACTCTCAGAATCAAATAAAAATGAAGTGAGCAAAGGAATTGTGAACTGTGAATTTATATGAATCCCAAGTGAACTCTGAAGTGAACTCCGTTGTGAATTGCTATAAAACATTAAGCAAGGGTCGGATTAAAAAACAACTATAATGCAGCCTATAGGACTCGCTGCATATGCCGGAGCGACTATGGTGCGAAATTGTAGCCAGACATTCCAATGTGGTGACACACACACACACACACACACACACACACACACACACACACACACACACACACACACACACACACACACACACACACACACACACACACACATACACACACACACACACACACACACACACACACACACACACACACACACACACACACACACACACACACACACACACATGCACACGAGAGAGAGAGAGAGAGAGCACGAACTCAGAGCCGCACTTATTGTACTCCTGTCCAGAAGAGATGCTGCATTCAGGTACTGTTGAATTTCTGTTGCTGTGAGGCGGGAAAAGATAATGCATGGATGAAAACCAGATTAAATACGTCCATGTTGCATGAGTAACATTCAATGTGTACATTGCATATCAACCGCATTACCTCCAAATTCCCATTGAGAAAAAAAAAATCCCAAATTGGCGCTGCAGTTGAGCCCATGTAGTCTGCAAAAAACAAACAAAAAAACCCCCAAAAAACACTTCTGTGTTTGACAACTCAATTGACAAAAAGAGACAGATTCTTGAGAACTTCGAGTCTTGATTTTGGGAATGGGGAGTATGGGAAGTACATTATTCCGAGGAGCACTTGAACGCACCAGAGAAGAGAGAGCGGGTTCCCACCGCAGCACGAGCTGCTGCCGCTGCTGCATCAACTGTCTCTCTCTGTCCGCGAGCTGCTGTGGAGCGAGACACTTTACGAAAACTTAAACAAAACAAGTGTTTAACTAGTCACTGTGCGGAGTTCTGACGGATGCTACCCTTGTTTCACAACACGAGTGGGTAAGTTTGTTTAATTTTCATCCCTAAGCTGTCACGTCAACACACCTTTACACGGGGGTTGTGTTGCACTAAGTCTCCTGGTCGGGACTGCGGTTTGTTTGTGAAGTTACCCAAACTGTCAACTGTTTGCTTTTCCACAAACCCCCCAAAGACAGGCCCACACAATCAACCGTAGAGTTGTGTTATCGTTAATCCACTTGTTGTTATTGTTCCGTATTAGAAAGGACAAAGTATGGCAAACAAAAAAGTTTGTGCTTACTTACTTGCTGCGACCATAAAACCGAAAACCATCCCTGAAACTTGGAACAGAAAACGGGATTCCTACGAGTTTTGGGGGGTATCATGGTTTGAAAAAGGGTTTGAAACTATTGCCAGCCTGCGTTTCCTGTCCTTGCTTAGAGCTCGGTATTTTTGCACCTAAGTCTGAAATCACGTGTGATTGTTTTGACTTCTTCATATTGAAATTGACCCCCTAAATCAACAAAACTGACTGGGATATATTGTTGGCCAATTTAGCTGTTTAGTCATTCACTTTCATATCGCTTGTGCACGAGCACTTGCTAGTTTTTAAGCGTGACAGGTCATGTTATTGTTTACATAAGCAGAGTCCCTAAGGCACCCCCCCCTTTGTGAGACCGTGTTACCTTTGACCCCCTTGTTTGTGACGTTCCAATGAATCCCTTATTATTGCTATAAATTGACTGATTAATCAGTTCAATTTCCCAATGTGTTTAAAATGAAAACACACGTCACATGAAGCTGATCAGGATCAGTAACTTGACACATGACGACTTGGAAGTTCAATACACAGGACATGACATCGGCCTACTATTTGATGGGTCAAGGTAAACAGGGAGATGTTTGCGGTGCAAAGTGAGAAGCTGGAGGGCTTACTTGCCTGTTAATCATTTTTTATATCCATTTTTTTGCTCAAAAATCATGAAACAAAGTGAGTCCATCCGTTAGAGAGAAGG